TTATTTAGTTATTAAGTTTAGAGTTAATTAAATATTAATAGATATTTATTAAGTAAAAATATTTTTATATAAATAATTAAAAATATTATTATTAAATGTTGAAAATATTTTTAAGTTTCAAAAATTATAATTATTATAAAAACTTTATTATAATTTTTAGCAACTTAAAAATATTTTCACCATTTAATAAATAAATGTTTAATATGTTTGTGTGTGTTATTCCCGGGACTTTGTTGTCACTAATAATCCAAGCAATTACTACATGACTACAGATAACAATATGATAGAGAAAGTTATAAATACATTAAATTCTGAAAATACTAATTTATATATTATTATATACTGTATATCATATGTACGATATAATACTTTAGTAACTTTAATGCAAACTCAAAAATGTTTATGTAAATATTTGTTTTTATTTCCAATAAATTGTATAAAAATTTTGTTAACTATTTAACTAAAATTAAAACAATTATTTTTAAAAGTGTTTAAATATTAATAGTTGAGTACAAGTTTTTTCAATACTATACTGTATAGTATTGTATTGTATTATGAATCATAATTAATGATTATATTAATATACCGGTACTTACTGTACAATAATGCCGTACGTATAGTTGATCTCATATATAAATTATAAATCACTATAAGATTCAATAAATTTAGCAGAGATTATATTCAAAGTTTAGAAGTATTAAATAGAAAACTAACTTCTGTTTTAATATATTTATTTAATGGAATTTAATTAAATAAATAACATTAAAAAATTATTTATAAAGTTGTAATTATAACATACTCTATAAATGGCAATAAATATGGAAAAATTGTAAACTTATTATACATTGAACAATATTTTGAATATTGCGTGAAATGACTTTAAATATACTCAAAAATTTGAATATAATATAAATCTTTTATAAATATATCAATATATAAGTGCACGTTGTATTAAATTGTTTAAAATATATTACCATAAAAACAAATAAAAATTTTGACAAAATTAAACATTAATTAAATTTTTATTATAAAACAATAATATTAATAAATTAATTATTAACACAAATTCTAAATTAAAATATAAGCACAAAATTTTTAGAAATTTAATAAATTCATATTTAATGACATTTTTTAATGAATTCATAAAATTAAAAAAAAATTTTACTGTATATATTTTTGATTTGCTTTTATTATCATAATTATTATTAAATAATATGCATTATTGTACTTTATATACTTTAGTATATTAATGCTTTAAAAATTGTTTTTTAGTTAAAATATTTAATTAATATAACGTAACTGAAAATAACTAAAAATAATATTTTTGTTATATACTATAAACAGTATGAAATGTATGTACAATTAAATATATATTATAGTTACTTAGAATTTATATATATATATATATAATTTACATTATATTATAGTGTTTGAATTGCATTATACTAATAAATTTATATGAATTATAAAAGATTGAATAATAATACTATAATGATAACAGATTGACAATAGTTGTCCAAATTAGTAATGGTTGAACACATAAGTCTATCACAAAAAAATAATTATATCCTTAATTCCTATTATATCCTTAATTCCTATTATAACTTTAATTTAATTAATTATTTTTAATGACATTAATTCATTATATATTTATAAAGATTTGTAATGAATTTTATGTAAAAGACTAATGTATTATATGAGTCATGAGATTTCAATTGTATAGAAAAAAATCATTACTTGAAAAGACCGGGAAATTTATTATCAATTTTTATAAATAATAAAAAAAGTGGAATCAAAATGATTTTCTTTAAATTTCATTCAATTTAGTCTATTGTACTGTAGTTTTAAAATAATAAATATAACGTTTATTAGATATAAAATTTATTTGCTGTAAAAATTAATTTATAATCTATATATCATTTTTTTCAATAGAAGTTTTTAAAAATAAATATATTATATTGATCTTATGTTTTGTGTTCAAAATTACATTTTAATCAATAACTGTAAATAAATTGTAAATTTAATTTATTGTTAATTTTTGTAATCAATTTCTTTTAAGATTTATATAAATAAATAAATTTTCAAAACTTAAATTTAATGATATATAAGTTATTTTTAGTTTACTGTATTTATAACACATGGTTTGAAAGTAACATTGAATATAAGGTTTGACGATAAATAAAATCAAAGATCAACTTTTCAATGGTTTCATAAACACTAAAATATTGCTATACTGTAAAGTATTTTGAATAATTAAAAAAAGAGTTTACTTTATATTATAGTTTATATACTTTATAAACTATTTATCTATAATTTTGATATTATAGAGTATGAATTAAATAAAAAAAGTGTAGATATGATCACAAAAATCAATAAATTAAAGCATTATAGCATTACTGAGCACTCATTCACTGTCTGAATGTTACACTAAAAATGCTTTGTCTGTAATCCACATAACAGTGCTCTCAACTCAACTCAATGCCATTCACTTCACTCATGTCTTCAAAAATACTTTTATTTAAGATTTTCCTCTCAAACTCTTATGAATATTGAATATGTTTTAAAAGTATAAATTCACTTTTAAATGTATTTTTTGTTATTTGTCTGCTTTTAAAAAGATAATATAAAAATTCAAATACATATTGATTTAATGGATCACTATTTGATATAATTTTGATTTTGTTAGTCAAATATGTCGTACAAATTTATGTGTATGTGTATGTGTATGTGTATGTGTATGTGTATGTGTATGTGTATGTGTATGTGTATGTGTATGTGTATGTGTATGTGTATGTGTATGTGTATGTGTATGTGTATGTGTATGTGTATGTGTATGTGTATGTGTATGTGTATGTGTATGTGTATGTGTATGTGTATGTGTATGTGTATGTGTATGTGTATGTGTATGTGTATGTGTATGTGTATGTGTATGTGTATGTGTATGTGTATGTGTATGTGTATGTGTATGTGTATGTGTATGTGTATGTGTATGTGTGAATTTGCATAATATCATATCAAGATTGTGGATGTCAAACTTTTTTTATTGATAGTCTAGTTTGCTTTTATTTAAATTATATAAAACACACACTTTTTTGTAATAAATTTCAAAATTAATAGCAATAACACATCGATAAGCCATTATTAAAATGAATAAAATTTTTAGGTTAAAGTTTTTTTTAAATAAAAAGAAAAGAATGAAATAAAGATTAATATTATGAATATTCTTGAAGTTTCTAAAACTGTATTTAAAAATAAATTCTTTTTGTAGTGAAATAAAAATTTCATTCTTTATATAAAAATGCCGACATTTGATAAATTTTTTGTGAATATTATAGGAAAAAACATTCTTTGATAAATACCTTATTTACCTTATAGTACCCCAAACTCTAATATATAGTTTGAACCTAAATGTCGGCACACTTTATATAAATTGCAATATATATAATGCTAAACAATAATTTTCATTTAACTCTACAACAACTTAATGGAAATTTATTTCCATTCAATTATAAAAAACAAGTATTGTTTAACTACAGCTTTTAACTCTTAATTATCTATTATAACTAAAAATAAACTATTTTTATAATTTTTATTTTTAATAAAAACTTCATTTCAGTTTGAATTTTTAGAAGAAAAAAATGATGCAAACATCAAATAAGTTTGCAAAATATAAGAAAATACTATAAACAACATTAAAAAGATTACATTATATAATATAATCTATAAAAATAAAAAATTCAAACATTGTATAATATTTATGACAAAAGAAATGTTCATAAAATTATTAAAAATTTATAAACTTTCTCTAAAAGCATTAATACTGTTAGTCTCCATATTTGCAACATTTTTGAGATCCATTTGCTTTCAGCTAACAAACTATATTTATAATAAAATTTTTTTAAAATGTTTTATAAAGTATATTATTATAAGCAATATATGATATACAAATTATGGAATATAATCACTAAAATTATAAAATTCATGTTTTATATACCGGTATAAAGTTATATATAAATTAAACAAATTATAAAATACACTATACGTCTATACATTGTATAATATAATATATAATTTATTTGATATCAAATATCATAGTCTAGTCTAGTCGTACAATTAGCTGATGATCAATATATTAACAAAAATATGAAAGCAAATAGATATACATCAGAGACAATGGTCACAAAAGACTGATTATTATTGTGTTGTTGTTATTATAAACACTAAATAGATGTCAAATAACAATGTTATACAATAGTTAAAAGCGTTTTAATTGAATCACACCATAAATTAATTAATTAGTAATTGCAAACTAATACCAAAATTGAATACTAATACTATTTATGTCTTAACTCAAATCAAAAATAATTAATTTTTTTTCTCTATATATACGTTAACTGTTTAGAAGAGATCTCGAGTTAAGAGTTAATTTTTTTAGACATACAGTACTTGTGTTAATAACATGTCATTACAATCACATATTGTAAATATACTTGACTTGAATTTGATTTATTTGAATCAGACTTAATCACAACATTTATAAAATTCAATTAATTTAATTTAATTAATTAATTTTTTTTAATAAACAATTCATATACATTATGTTAATAATATTAAAATATATAAGTAATATTAATTTGTAATTACAAAAATATTTGCTATTTATTTGATTTGAAGTATTTCAGTGAACACATTAATAATATTTGAATAAATTAAAAATATTTGATACGATTAGAAAAATAAATTTTATTTCTTTTTTTGTAAAATCAATAAAAAACTTATGCAAATATAATACGATTTAATAAATGATTGCTGTTTGATGTGATTTATTTTTTAGAGAAACACGACATTAATATACTGAACTAAATTTATAATAAATAAGTCTAATATATATTATATAATGGTTTAGTATCATAAAAAATAAGAGTATGTTTGCAAAGTCGTGATAATATTATCGTTCAAAATATAAGCTGACAATTGAATTGAATTGTATTAACACTTACTTGAGATCACGTTTTGTTGTGTCGGTTAGCGACGAGCCGAAGAAAGGCACGATATGTGTGATGAGCCACGTGTTGGTCACCCGGCAGTCATAGTAAAGTGTGGTCCAAATACCGGACTCTGATTTCATGAGTAATCCATTGTTGGGATTGTTATGCCATTCGTGTAAATGCTGGCCGTAATGATTGGTAGCGAAGGCCCAAAACCAGTCGCCGCTCAGCGAATAGTTATCTGTTCTGAATGTTTGCATATTATAATGATTGGCCACCGATGACCAACTTCTAGTTAGATCACTCAATACTATTTGCTTGTTTGTCACATTACGGTAGGCATAGGGAGCAAAATGCCAGTCATTGTTATTGGCAAAAGAATTGGCACTGAAGGCAATGCCCGACCCAAACATATAGGGGTCGGTCTGAACATTGGCCCGAACTATGGACTCGAAGAACTCTTTGTGTAGAACTAGTGGTGGAAGCGATTCGTTGACTGTAAACAAGTTGGTCAACAAGTTTGCTGTTTTCAATGCCGACTCCGATTGATGAGAAAACTTTTGATACGATGAAGACTTGACTGAAAAATTCAATGATAGTAATGACTGTCTGACACAAGTGTTGGCATTAATATTAGATATATTATGTGTCAGTTCAATGAAATGCAAAATAGCACTCGCATTGTGATACTTCTGCAACAAATCCAAAACAATCCAATCCTTTTGACTACCGATTACTCCCCACTCGACTCCTCTCTCATATGTCGATGAACTCAACGAACGGTGCGTTAAATTGATTATTGTTATCAACAATATTAGATTTTGTCTATTTTTCATAATTATTTAACGATTTTTAAATTTTTATTTACAATATTTAGATATTTAAAGATATATATATATATATATATATTTATTAATTAAATTGTCACTTAAAATTTAATGATTATTTTTTTCTCAAAATATATTAAATACATTGTTTATTAATAATAATTAATGATATGACATATTATGAAATCAAAACATTATTTTTTTAAATTGCTATTAATTTTTACAACTTGTTATATTAATAATAATAATAATAATTACATTAATATAAAAGCATTAAAATCTATATTATATAATATTCATACTGTTTATATTTATTGTATATGTATATCCACTTATATAAATAGCTTTAAATAATTAGCACTTTACACAAAAACACTTTGGCATAAATATCTCATAATTTATTGAAAAACATATCAAGTGGTGAATCGGTGTAACAATCATTTTCAGACCATTTGATTACAAAAACTAAAAGTTTAGTATTTGTTGTCAACTCATAGACACTACGATCCGCTGGTAGTATACTTTCATTTGGTGTCAATATTTCTCAGGAATTGCCAAACATTTGAGTTTTCAATCTTTATATATATAAATATATATATATATATATATATATATATATATATGTGAGACATGACTTAGAAAATGGATGTATTTTAAGCCAATGAGATGTAGTCTATCGTAGCCTTAAATTCTGATGGATTCTCGTTATTTGGTTGCCTTCGCCACAGAGTAGTCGCTAACTAACGGCTCAATCGATTGCTACCATCACTGCCTCAAACATAACAGACCTCTGGTGATGACAAAACCGTAACGATTACTGATTTACTCCCCTTTTCTTTATTATTTTATGCCTACAAAGTGCTTATATATTTTCCACTTTATTTATATAAGCCATTGAATGCACATTTTAGATTCACTTTTATTTTTCATTTATTAATATTAATATTATTTTGCTTAATATTTAAAATATGACAAATATATGCACTAAATATAAACTTTATTGTCATAATGTAATAATAAGATTTATTTTTTAATATTAGATTTACTAATTTATTTCAAAAAATATTTATTTCAAAGTAATATAATTTATTTTGTTGTTTCACATATACTTACAATTTGTATAACTCAAGTCTCATGAGATTGAAATTTACATTATTTATTATAATTATTAATTATAAATATGTTTTACTAATAATTATGATTTAATTACAAACAAGTTTTGAAATTTTTCAACAATATTATTTTAAAAATTTTATTATACTTTATTATTATTGAAACATTAAATATTACTAAAAATTTACGTATTTAAAATATTTAATGTATCTGTATATCAAATAGCTTATTTTCTAAAATATGATTAAATTATATTATAAATATGATATTCAATAAAACATTAGACAAAAATTGTAAGTTTATTTTTTTTGTTTTATTAAATCTTTACAAATGATTTATGATTTCGTCACACTAAAGATATTTTAGACGTCTATATATATATATATATATATATTAGATATTTGATTAAATTAGTTTTGTATTTTATATTTTAACAAATAGTTTATGTATTTGTTTGATCTTATATTTGATTTTATACTTAGATATTAAGAGTTAGAAATACATTAAGAATATTATTATGAATAAGCAAATTATTTTATTTGCATTGATATACAAACATATGAATACTATTGGAATGGACTAAATAGTATAACTAATATTATATATATTGATATTTGGATACCTTATATAACAAACGTAAAAATATATGCTATTTCTTATTCAAATGTCTTTATATTACTGTATATTAAATATAAAATAAGATGAATAGCGAGTATTTATTATAATCAAGTTTCGTATTTATCTTTTCAGTGCTGAACTTCATTAATGCATAACTTTTATTATATTATATTTTAACTTTGAAATTATTGTCAGCTCAGTAAAAATTAAATATCGTATCAAAATATGAAACGTTTAGCCAATCGGAATAATATGTATATCAATATATAAAATACTATATAAGTATTATACTTTATAAATTATATATATATATATATATATATATATAATACAATATATATATATATTCCGATCAATTGTAGAAAAAAGCAGTCTTTATACACATTCATTACAAATAAATATTATTAATCATATTTACAGTTGAAATATAATATAAAATATATTTAATATATCAAATATATTGCATATAACTAGAGTATGAAATAAAATGGATTTTGATAAAATGTTTTTATGATATATCATAAATAGTAAATAATGGTGTATTTGTGGACACTTTAGGTTGAGATATGCATTCATGTTTAGGTCGACAGCGAGGCTTATTGTCATTGATGTCTATCCTATTGTTATCACTTTTTCCGGTTTTGTCGACACTCTTATTGTTTGTATCGTTCATTACTGGAAATTCATTGCAATCAAAATTGTTTAATAACTTTTTTGGTATCCAATGTGAACATGACTTATAAAAGTCTTGACAGAAGTCTCTGCACGGATAGACCAGTTCGTCGTCAATACACTCGGGCTGTAAGAGTCGACAAATAAACTCTTGAGCGAAAGGATAGCATTCAAAATCAATGATTTGTCGATAGGAAATGAGATCTTCTTCAAGGGAACTGGTATTCCAATGGCCAACGATATTAGGATAAGACGTTTTGTTATACGAAAGAGAGTTACAAATATTCACACTAATGGTTGTGCACTTTCTGGGCGATGGTGTGGCAGCTAAAGGCAATCCCTCTAAAAGACCCGGAAATTTGGTTCTATATTCCCAAGGATTTGCTAATAGCGCTGAGGAAGCCTCGGGTGAGTCCCGAGAGTACCGACGCTCCTGAATATCCAGAGAGTTGTAATCAATGGTCCAATTTTTAAAGACGCCTAACTTGGAGTTCAGTATTTCTTCGCCTAAGACAAGGAACAGATCCGCTTCATCTATATCTGGTCGTTGGGCAGACATATGTATATTGAAGTGAACGACCACATCATCCCTGTTGTCTCTCTTCCTTTCCAAAGCTATAATCTCCGATCGACTAAAAGCTTTAGCGTAATGACTGTTATTAAATAACTGATTGAGTTTTAACTGCACTTTTTCTGCGGTACTCTTAAACTCTTGTGAATCAGATCTCTCAAAATTTCTTGTGTATGGCTCGCCATTGGTTATCGTTAACTGACCTTTAAATACACGCTCTGAAAGACAACAATACATAAAACACGAAAAGATTTTGTTAGATATAAGTGTCGACTATTAAAATGATAGCATTAATGCTAATATAATTCATATATCATATTAAAGCGCTTACCCTTTAATGACCGGCCCTCATATGAACGCACTGTTAGACAAAATAATTTATGTATTAATGTGTTAATAAAATGTCTTATTTTATAATTACAAAATTAGAGACATTGTATATAATATGAAAGGAAATCTCATTTTTCATTAAAACTTACGACTAAAATATATTCCAGAAGTGGCGGCAATCGATACAAACAATAGGGCCATAAAAAGACATACACTGTTAGAGTAGAAGATTATTAACAGTTATTAAATTATAATTATATATTTTATTTGCTGGCATAACATAGCAATGAATTGATTGTATTGTACTGTATTATATATAGTATTATATTATATATTATGTACTAGGGTTAAGCAAGTTTTGTTGGTCTATGAGGTTACTGTGGGGGGGACTGACAAAAATCCTGGGGGTGTCGACTTTATTGCATTTTTAAACGGCAATTTTTTCAAAATTTGAAAACCAAGGGGGTCATGAGAAAATTCCCATGTAAATGGGAAGAAATTCCCTGGAAAATAAGAAAGTATTTCCAATAAATTCCTTTATTCGGCAAATTTTCTAAAAATTATAAATTTAAATTTAAATTTAAATTTAAATTTAAATTTAAATTTAAATTTAAATTTATCTTTATTTTTATTTTTAAAAATAAAAATTTTAGCATTAATGAAATTTAAAAATTATTAAAAATACATTAATATAGTATTTTCATTATTATTATGATTATTTTTAATTTTAACTCTTACTATAAATGAAATAAAATTAGTCATTCTAACCAAATAGCTCTTTTTTTAACTATAACAATAAATATTTTTAATAAAATATAAATAATAAAATTTATATTAACTAATATAACTAAATTTAACTATTTAAACTAATTCTTATCAAATAACAACTAAATTAAGTTTTATATATTGGGGTAAAATCTCCAAAATCTTGGTCGCTAGGGGGTAAGCCGGCCATACCCATAACCCCAGCGCTTAACCCTGATTATGTACTATAAAACTCAATAATATTTATTTATTTTTTTAAAGAAGTAGACATTAAAACTAAAAATATAGATAAGTTATAAACGAATTTATTATATAAATGTGAAAAATCAACAAAAACATCGATTATTTTTAGCAAAGATTTATTATAAGAATATAGAGAAATGTATTGTTTGTTTGGTTTGTAGAGTATGTTTGATGACAGGTTTGCAACAATTCATATAAATTTATATATAATAGTATATATATATAGTATTTACTGTATGATAAGCCAACATAGCATTTATAATAAATAAAAGTTATAAGTAAAATAAATAAAATATAACAATAAAGGTCACCTACCAGGTCGATGGAGTACAGCCTATCATTTCAATACAAATATTACACAATACAGGTGTTTGTCGACATATCCAAACAAATCCATATAAACATACAAAAAAACAACAATATTATATCAATTAATAAATTAGTTTACTTATAAAACATTAAATTAAATTAGTTTATTAATCATTGAGATTATATGTATGTATTATTCTATATATTATATATACTGTATAGTATATACAGAATTATTGATACGATATAAGTTAAAGTATTAAGTATTGCAATCTATCATTTTATTAAACTTTTTTAATCAATAAAGTTTTAAAATAAAAAATGCATGATATTATAATTAAATAATAATAATTTATAAAAAATTTTATTAATAAGATAAATAATTTTCAAATCGAAATAAAAACTTATTTAAGATTTATATTTTTGTCATTAAATTGATATATTAAATATAATGTATTATATTTGTTATAACATCAAAATAAAGATGAATTCAAGATTAAAACTGAAAATAATCATACCTTCAGTTTTGGTAAATTTAATTTCATGATTAGTCACATAATCAGTGATTTTGGTTGAATTTGATGATAAATCGGTGGCACTTCTCATAGAGTATGCATGAGGTGGTGGCAAATGATTTTGATGATTGTGGTTCTGGTGAGGATAGTAATGGTTTTGATGGTTGTGCTGCTGATTGTACTGTTGGTGATAACCGTTGTCATCCATTATGATATAACATATGAATCGGTGATAAAAACTATTATTTACATCGAAGTTGACACAAAACTTCTGGTTATATCATACACTAGGAAGTGATAGAAAAAAAGTTTTACACAAAATGATTAAATCATATGAAAATAAACTCGTTCTCAACGTTTACTATAACTATATATGAGTGCACTATTAGTTATAGCAATTGAAGTTCATTACAGGTATAGTACTATACAATACTTCCATATATTCATCACTTTTAGGATTCAAGCGTTACAGAAGTCAGTTCACCGAAACGCTAATGTGTTCACTATATATATATATATACTCTATAAAAGTATATATTTAATATATTGTGTACAAATACACAAGTTATATAAAAGTTAGTTCACTAAAAAATGATTATATTTTTCATACATTAATAGTAGTGGAGATAAGGGTCTCTCGTTTAATATGAAAACATTGTATCCATTCTTTACAGTCGACGGCGTTAAGTGAGTGCCGCCCGCACTCTGTACTCCCCTTTCGAGTCAAACAACAACTACTGATTTCTAGACTGTTTGTCATAAAAAGGTTACATCACTTGATATGTAAAGCATTACAAAGAAACACTCATTTATATAATAGTATAATACTGTAGATTATATAATAGTATTTTAATATTGAAAAACCGCTAGAGAAGCGGTCAACCGGTCTCTCATAAATTTAAAGATTTTTTAATATTACAGTTAAACTTTGCGGTCCTTTAAATCAATTCACTTATTTTTAAGTCTTGTCTATTATATATGTTTTTAAAAAAAGTAAATTACTCGTTAATATATAAACAAATTCACGGCTTACCAAATCAACTACCAGTTCAATACTGAAGCTTATGGTTAACAAAACAAAAGCACTAAACAATAATAAAGTATTATTTCTAGAGTCAAGTTATGGTAAGTTTGGTTCAGTAGGTGACACACATTCAGCCCTTTATTAATGTTTTTCATTATTTTTATTCATTTAATTCAATGCATTATTTTTTCTTTAAATCTCATTTGACATTCACTTTAATAGATGAATAAGTTTTTTAAAGGCGTTATAAATCAATTGTAAAATATATTTATAAATTTAATTTTATGTTATGAAAAATAAATAAAAAACTTGGAAAAACTAAAAAATTTTGTTAATATAATTTAGAAGTCATTAAAAAATTTATGTCTATTATTTTAAGACATATACATAATATAAATTTATTATTTCTGATCTAAATTTTTGCACAACAAAAGCAATTGAAAAGTTGTCTCACAGGAAATGTGTTTGTTTTGTAACAATAAGTTTTCACACAATTAAATACTATTATTTTTTAAAACATCTTTTTGACTTTACATTAGTTTTAAAGTGAACACAACTTTTAACTTAACATAAGTTACAAAAAAATCATGTAACATAACATACAGTATTATACAGTATTATACAGTATTATACAGTATTATACAGTATATAATATTATATAACATACATATAGTGATGGTTTCATAACCTATGCGTCCGAAACCATAAAACACATGACATCCACAGCACGACTATATAATTATACTATTTTTTTATCTCACGATTTGCTATTAACTTAAGATATTCACAAAAATTAGATAAATCAAAGAAATATAATAAAAAAACGCTTTAAAAGCCTTTTTCTTGTATTTAAAACACAAACAAAAATTGAAAACAAAAATTGTTGCACTTTTACAGCAAAATTTTAGTTAAGTTTGATTTTTTAGAGTCCGTATTCATTTGTTGACTGATAGGATGTTCCCAATGGGCTAATGATTATAATGAAGTGGCAATCATTGGAAAATGAGACTTAAAAAGCTTTTTTTCTCATGTTTTCACATTTAAAAGTACTGACTGTGTGTGTGTGGTTGTCGTACCAGTGATGCCAAACTGGGACTAAAGTTAACGGCCTAAAGACACATTGCTTTACAATGTAAGGGACAGGTAGTTGAATAACAACATAACAGACGGTGAGCGCTGTAACTGAGGTATGATATGCCAAACATAGCACACGGTTTCGCAGTGAATAATTTTGTTCACAATTTTTTTGTGACCATATGTTGAACAGATCTTTTACAATATAACAATAGGATTGGTATGCAATGTAATACCGGTGCCAAAAACGCAGACAATCACATAACTCTTACTTGAGTTCACTTGACAGTCAAAGACAGAAAAAAACCTTTAAATTTTCACTTAATTTTTTAATGTTCATGTAATTAGTAATTTATTATTATTATGGATACTAATATTGTTATGAATAATTAATTAAATTGTAATAAATTAATTAATTAGAAGTTTATTTTATTAAAAATTGCAGAAAATATTAAATTCAAATATTTTTATGAACGTTTCAAAAATCAAATAATTAAAATTAAATTATTTTAATTTTGATAATAATTTAATGATTAAATGATAACATATTATGAAAATCAGTTTATTGTCCAGAACTTTCACAGAACTGACTGATTATTAAGCAAACGGAAAGAGAGAGAGAGAGAGAAAAAAATATTTTTGTGATTTGAGACTCAAATTTTGCGTTTTAAAGAGAGACCAAAAGCTTTTTTTGAGAAATATTATTATTATTATTAAACGAGAAATGTTTTGTTGATTTTAAAGTCGGGATTTAATTTTGATTTTTGTTGAACCAAATGACTGCATATCTTGTCATACAATATGAGGCATACATTTTCATTGCCTTTGTATGGGTTATAGAGTGCAATGCACTTTCTGGTACTTCTTATATGATTTAAATGTCTCTTAAATTTTAAAACAATTGCAAACATTATTTGTCAATCAGATATGTGTTTGGTTTTGTAGTTAAGCTCTCAATTTTGTCGCTCAAAACCTAACAATATGTAAGGTATTCGCTATAAATACTGTATATATGACTTAATAACAGGAAATACCTATTTTTACAAATAGTATTGTTATTACATATATTATTTTGTTAATGGCATTTCATTTTCTTGTAAGAAATAAATAATTCAAAAAATTGTCATAAAATATTTGATTATAAATTATAATAATGTAAAGGCATTGAAAATATTTGTATGTAATTTTGTAATTGTTGTGCTGTCGAGCATATCATTTAAATATCAATCAAGCATTAACTAAATTTACATTTTATTATTTTAAAATTTACGACAAATTATTTAAACCAAATTAACTTTCATTTTGTTTATTAATTAAAATGACGTTTTCGTTGATTTCTGACATAATCTTTATGTTTAAATGAGTTTTGTTAATAAGTTTGTACTAATTTAGTGTTTATTTTTATATTTTTAATAAATATAGTATATATTTGTTGTATTGCGAGTATACTATAATTATCTAAATTGAAAGTTAGCTTCAACTCAATTATAAAGTCAGTTAAATTTTACGTGACTTTACTAAGTAATGGTCTCAAAACTAAAATTACTATTATGTACAGTACAACAGTCTCTCTCTCTCTCTGTCTGTCTGTCTGTCTGTCTGTCTGTCTGTCTGTCTGTCTGTGTGTGTGTGTGTGTGTATGTTTTGTGATATATATACTGTATATATATAAGAAATTTGAAGAAAATATACTTGTCTTTGGAAATGAAATTAATGAAAATAAAATTAATTTGTGTCTCGATTGACACTAAATTTAATACTATATTAGTCTATACTAGTCCTCAATCTCTACATTATTTTGATGATACTATTTATTTTCTTTAAAATTATACAATTATTTTGAATTCAAACCATTAATAGATTGAATAAATTAGTATTAATTCATCTATATCATTTTAATAATAATAACAATAATAAATCTTTTTAATTTTATTTAAAATCATTTACTTGTATATTCATTGCTTACAATTGATTTACTCATTTTTTTGTTGTAAAATTAGGTCTTCAATAAAGAGAAGGCATTAATATTTTAGTTAATTGTATTTTTAAGATAAAATAGATAACGGTTTGAACAGAGAGTACTATACTATTGTAAAAAATAATACATCGTTTGTTTATATTTTTTATTCAACTACAGTATACTTAATTTTTTATAAAGTAATACAACATACATGTATTGCTTTATTGGGTAAACAAATGGTAATAGATTTATATAAAAATATATTATATAAGATTTTTTTTGTTACGATGTGCTATAATACATAAAATTATTATAATCAGCGTAATAATAGTAATAATAATAATAATAATAATAGCAATTGTTTTATTTAAGGTATTACATCAATGTAGTGTATATTATTGTAGTTTTTATATTTAAAAAAGTTCATCTTTCGTAGTATATTTGATTGAAAGTATTGAAAGTAGAGTTAATTTTGCGGTTAAATAAGGTTTTGCAGTATAGTATCTGATCTAATTGTTTACGAGAAATATTACCACAAAATATATGCTTCAAGAGATATTATGTACATTATATATATATATACTGTATATACAGTACCGTAATATTAAACAATTGAAATAAAATAAAATTATATGTTATTTTGTATATACAGTATTTAATCAAGAAATGAACTCTTTTGATACAAAGATAACCACATAATTGTATTTAATTTGACACAAAACTTATATTTACTTTTGAAATCATTATATAAGTATATATTTCCTCATTCTTGTATACAAACATATTGTTCAAAAGTATTGTAATTTACAATTTGTAAATGACTTTCTTTTTTAAAAACCTATTTCAAAAATATTTATCTTTTAACAATTAATCGATTATTTTTGTTATATCTCGTTATTTTTAAGCAATTTGTGAACAAACTTTTATCAGAATAAGACAAATATACAATATTTTGGAAAAAGGGTTATTAAAGTAATAAAAATTGAAATCAATTTTTGAGACATAATTAACTAAATTACAAAAATTTATAAAACAATAGTTTTTCTTTTTTTCTCTTTGTAAATATAAATAATTTACATAAAATGATTAATAATTGTTTAAGATTTTGAGATTTAAATTATTAGATTTATACACAAAATGACATCATAAAATTTTTAATCTTTACACATAGAAAACAAAAATTGTTTGAGATTTAGGTTTACAAAACTTATTTGAATAAATTATTATTTTATACTGTAATATACGGTACAGTATATAAATAATTGTATACATTGTATACTATATAACAATATACTGTTTATAATGGACCGGTTATTTACGTTCATTTAATGACAATAATAAAAATTGATGTCGTTTTTACAATCAATTTAAATGAGATGACAATTACATTTAATGATTATTAGATTGATTGTCGATTGGCATTAGATTTTTGGTGAGTCCTAAATGTGTTATACGACCCAATGCTAGTATTGCAGTCCCAGTTTTCTGTGTTATAAAGTATTACAATATAATCGTGTTATTTGAGTTGCTTTTTAAACAAATCTTATTTATTGTATAATATAATATAACTTTTATTATATATTTTATTGATTTATTTTTATATATTATTATAGTATAACAGTACTATTATAAGAGAGAGAGAGAGAGAGAGAGAGAGAGAGAGAGAGAAGCATAAAAAGTGACAGACACTGACATACTTAGGAAATAAAAAAAAATCGTGAAATTCAATGAGGAATTAGATTATAAACTATCTATAAATTGGTGTTTATGTCAAATACCTGCCATTTTCGGCGAATTAAAAATTTTTTGAGTTTTTCTGTTGCAATTGGGATATGCTTTGATGGCTCTCTCTTTAACCATCTATTGGACAGACATTCATCAGCAGTCAGGCGTTCTCTTTAAATATGTTTCAGAAATATAGCAATTTTTAAAATTAAAAACTCATTTAATACAAAATTATAAATATATACAAAAATACAGTATATATAACGGCATACAATTATATTTTCAAATTTTTAATTATTTTAATGTCACTAACTCTGGATTCTTCACCAATAATGACAAAATGAATTGTTTGGCCTCATCTGAGATGGAGTCGAAGGCCTCGTCCTCGAAGTCATAGTGCGCTTGAGTTACGTTACATAATGTCTTGGCGTCGGTTTCATCCATGAATGGCGACAATCCACTCAACAATACGTAACAAATCACACCTTTCAATATAAGTATATCATTTCAACAACAAATCATTAGTCTATTCATAAGTCAATTATCATTATTATTAACATTATTACATTTGTTACTAAATTTGAATACTAAATCTTTTAAACAAAACTATAATCGCATTAAAATATTAACGATTCAATAAATTTCAACTTAAATTTTATTTTATTTTTTAAATAATATTTTATGAGATAATTTATATTAATTATCTAAATATGTATCTCAGATTACACTATCAAAGCCAGTATCAAAAAGCATATTTTTCGTAAGCTATTTGTGCAAAAATACTTGTATGACATACCGACTGACCACATATCGGCCGCTGGAGTTACCACTTCATAATTAATGATTTCTGGTGCCACAAACTCAGGAGTGCCAAACAATATCTTAAGTGTTTCTTCTCTACTGTAACCGCGGGCTAATCCAAAGTCTATTATTTTAATGTCATAACTGTTTCGGGTTTTACATAAAATATTTTCCGGTTTTAAGTCCAAATGCATGACATTATTTGAGTGCATGTATGACACGGCTTCACATATTTGTCGCATAAATAAAATGCATTCAAATTCTGTGAGTATATAGTTTTCGGCGACAATTCGCTCAAACAGTTCTCCGCCAGAAATACTGACATTTTGGGGACATTTCAATCATTTTATATGAATTAATGCAAAAAATGTTTAGCAAAAGACATAACCATTGATAAGGAAAAAGCATTAATAGTGACTCACAATTCTGTGATTAAAATCATCTCTTTTGCAAATTCAAAGGCTTTGTCCAATTGAACCAAATTTTTATGTTTCAATTGACACATAATATTGATTTCTCGATACACTTCTTCTCTATCGTTAGGTCTCAAACAACGTATAATTTTTGCCGCTTTCTCTTTATTGGTCGACATTTCAACCACTCGTTTGCAAAGTCCAAATCGTCCTCTAATTTAGTATTTAAATAAAAGCAATCAATTTATATAATCTATAATTAATAAAATTTTTGTGATCAATAAACATAAATCCAATCCATGTGTCACACTATTGTCTACACACCTTCCGATATCTTCCTTAATATCATACAACTCATTAAAATTAACGTCTTTTTCAATCACAACTCTTTGATGTTTTCAATTTATCCATTGATTGATGAAAACCATATTAAGATATAATGTTTGGATTATTAGTATTTAGAAGAAAAAACTTACTAATCATCTAAATGTTAGACAAAAATTACTGTTCATATAGTTTAACATCACTTACAAGTCTGACAATGTATTCGACCGCTTATTTGAAGCCATTTATTTCAATGACTATAATCGCCAATTAATTTATAACACAGAAAAATATTTAGCTAAACAAACGAAATATTGATGAAATAATTATACTAAATAATATATATATATATATATATAATGCTTTTTTGAGGGACAACGGCTAATTTGATTGTCACTAAATGTGTGATAAACAACACATTGATATTATTAGTGACAGATTTTTTCTAGTGTTTGTCTGACTGGTGACCAAATAGAGGCCTAAAAATGCTTAAATCAATCAATTGATGCAAACTCACGACTTGGTTGTAGTCAATGGTTGGCAACGCATTAATAATTGCAATAAACGTGTGGCACAGATATCGATGTAATTTATTTTGTTATATCTTCTGGTGCTGTCAATGCTATCAAACAAAAACTATAGCAATACCTGTGAAAACATAACTAAAGTCAAACAAATGTTGATTACATAAAGTATTGACACATTGGTCCTAAAAATAAAGTTAAACATACAGTACATTGACTATCAAAATACAATTTATTATAAACCTATGCTTAACACATACCTATAAAATATAAGCCAACAAATACCACAATCTTTCTTCTAATTTTACATCACTTTTTAAGGCATTGTATTATATATTATATTAAATATGTAGAAAATATGCTATTTTATGGATAATATTTCAACAAATATTTTTTTCATCAAAAAATATTTTAGTTGTTTTCTATTAATTCAGATTTGATGAATCACACAAACATATACATCACATATAAATTACAATACATGTACTAATTTTACATACAGTATATAAATTCATACAATGCAGGTATGTCTTCAATAAAAGTGATATCACGTTCGCAATTAAATCTAATTTTTGTACATTAATTGACTACTTATGATTGATTCACTGTTAAGATCCGGTTCAATATATTAACAATTTTAAATTTTAATAATTAAATTAATATTACTATTAAAAAAAATTATTAGTAAGTGATCGAAATTTTATTATTATATACTACTATGTGTATAAAAGTGTATGAATAATAATTATATGACATAAAATATTTAACATTTTAACAATAAAATAATATATTAATAACCTTTAATCTGTTTGAAGTAAATTAGCAACTATTAAAAATTTACAAATATAGTATACTGTTATAACTGTACTGGATCATTTTTCTTCTTATTTGTCTAAATACATTGTACTGTATATTAACAGATCAGCAATCAAACAACTAATTTAAAAATATTTATCAAAATGTCTACATTTATTAAGTGCATTACTCGCAGTCTCTCTTAGAGTGAATAAATAAATCTTAATTTTCACTTTAAAACATTGTTTATATTAAAAATTTTAAACATTTATAGTTTATTAATAGTATTAGACTCCTATTAAAATAACTTCTATATAATCTTATATAAAATATTTGATTTTGTTAATTGCATTTATAATTTTTATCAACATTTTATAATTTAGCTAAATAAATAATATTAAAGTTTAAATTAATGAAAATATCATTGATAGTTTATGTAACATTTCATCGAGTATAGAAATATATATATATATATACTATAAGTTAGCCATCATTCAAAAATATTGCAATTTATTAAAATGTAATCAAATTGTCGGCTAACATATAATTACTATATACAGTATAAATACACCGTTTATTATATTAACATAATTGTCATTTATATGAATTCATTAATCATTATTATAATATGTCATTGTTTTTTTGTTGTTTTTATACATACATTTATATTTATTAACTTTATATATGTTGCAACTTTTATAAAATATAGCATTTAAAAGATAACAAAAAAATGTTATAAAAATAATTTGAAATAAAAAATAGACACGAGCATGAAGTGAAAAATATTTTTTTATTTATCAATCAATTATGTAATAATAATAATTATAATAACATAGTTTTTCTTTTTTTTCTTTTTTATACAATCAATATTTTAGGGTTTGGCATAAAATAATAAACAATTTTTTTGTTCAAAGGATTAACTGGTTTAATGTTTAGTGAAATACCTTACAGTATAATAACATTATATCATTTATATATTTATGTATATAATAAAAATGAATAATACATACAAATGGATTCAAAGATATATTGTAATCAAATATCACTATAAAAGTAGAATCAAACATCATTTGAAGTCCACTCATATGAATTATTTTACAAATATTTATAAACATTTTTAAATATATTTTCTAACAAATTTTCGTATCATTTTAAGGATAGTTGTTTTAGTTTTTATTAACTTTGTCATACTATATATATATATATACTGTATACTAAAACAATTTTTTAACTAAAAAATTTAAAGCACAATTTTTTTATTATTTAAAAACAAATTAATTTAAAAACTGCTTTTCAGTGATATTAGTAATAAGCATCAGATTTGGGGATCATTTGCGTCATATGAATGAAATTTTCGATAATAATAACTGTTTTCATTTCCATCAAAGTATTGATTATTTTTAAATTTTATATATTGATTAGTAGTGCTATTATAAATTAAGTTTATATGAGATAAACAAACAAAAAATATCAATTTTATACTGTATGAGTTGCTTTTATGTTATAAAATTTAGTTATAAATCAAGTTATTATTAATATTATTGTTTGTTGTTGTTGTTGTCTAAATTAAACCATATATTTTGAACAAATGCCTACTAAATGCATAGTAAAGATTCTTATGGATGAATCGGATTTCAGTACAAATAATTAAACATTAATTAATTAGAGAATTAATTTGTTGTATTATATTATTAGAAATATTTTTTTAATGACTTTAAACTTAAACTCCAAAAAGAGATAATCAATCAAAATTTTTTTTATTGTTTTGTTAAAATAGAAAAAAATTAGTAAAATCTGAAAAAGATTTCTGAAGAAAATGTTTTTTTGTTTTGTTTTGTATATAACCTTTATATTTATCTAACTAAATAAAAATTGTAATCAAATTTATTTTATTTCCCAAATTTATATATAAAATGGAACCAAAAATTCCTAATTAAAACTAACGGACAATATATTTATGTTTTTACACAAATATTTCCCACAAAATTCATATAAAATTATCATAAATTTTAGAAATTATTTATTTATAATTTTAAAGCGGAAATTCTCATATTTATAAACACAAGACAAATATATTTTCTCACAATAATAATACAAGAAAAAATCAATTTATTTAAACAACTAAAAATTATATAATTTAAAAAATAAAATCTAAAGTTTAAATATTATAATAGATTAAAAATTTTAAAATTATGAATAATTATTATCACTAAACTAATTAAATTATAATAATAATGATAAAAATTCTATCGGATTCGTTGTATAGTTAAAATATACAGTTTAGTAGATACTTATAAGTATTTATTATAGCATATATTTTATACAAAATTTTCTTAAATATATTTTGAAGAAATATGTGTTAAAATTATTGTTATATTTTTTAATATAATTTAGTTATGAATTTTGTGAGAAAATTATGTGCAAATTATTGTAATAAAGAGTTGGCATTCAAAAGGAGTATATATATATATATATTATATATCACGGGCTGAAAATCAATTGATTGAATTGAGACAATAATTGGTAGACTTGTATATATATATATATATATTATTTATTTATATATACTGTATATGAGAGCGCAATTGACGCATGTATTGTGTGCCACTAAATCATTGCTAAATTTACAACCAGAAAACAGTTCAACAAAATGGTGACAAAACTTTTGATTTTATTTTTGTTTAAACTTATTGGGGATTTATTTTTTTATAGCTTAGATTAATAAATCTATTTTAATTACGGTTTTTTAATTTTTGTTTGTTTGGAAAAAAGATAATATTTTTTGAGGTGAAAAAAGTTTAATACATTTATCTGTAAATTTTGTTTTTCTTGTTTGGTTAGATCACTGGTTATAATCGGCAAACTATTTCTGAATATAAAAAATACAATAAAGTCATAAATAAAAATACTTCAAAATTAGAAGTTATATATATAACAATCGGTAAATATATTTGGATTAAAGCTTAAACTTTAAAATTAAGATACAGTTTAAAACAAAATATAAATAAATAAAGCAATGAATTTAGAAAATCAAACATTAATTCTGTTTCTGTGATTTGAATAAATAATTTTCAGATTTAGTGATAAAAATCTTAACTTTTATGACATAGAGATAAATACAACTAATTTTAACGGCAAATATATAAATATTTATATTACTGTATATATATGCTTATAATTATAGTATAACTTTCCTTAAAATTTTTAACAAATAAACGATTATATATACGTTTATTTAAAAAAGAGAGTCTGAAATATTTGGTTGCAAACGGGATAAGCAAATTGTATTTATAAATATAATAAAATATAATCAATAGTAATAGTAAATTTAATTATTTGTTAATTAATTAATTAATTTTAATAATAATAATAATAAACAATTTCAAGAAATGTCTCTAAAAATCAATAAAACGATTTGTTTAAAGGCATATATGAGTTAATGAATTAATGCAATCGTCAAGAAATGGTGACAAACCCGATGTCTTTAATGGGAATATGAATTGTTGTTACTTAAGAAATATGTTGTCATTTATTATAAACAGTGGTAAACAATGAGCTGAAACTATGAGAATCTTCTGGTTCTTTGTCTTCACTGTTCAATAATCTTCGTCTTTATTAAAGTATTCACTAAACCGTTCAATGATTTAGTTGTTAACATTGCAAAAGAACTAATAATAACAATATATTACAAAAATTTCTTTTAGGTTTTTTTTTTTGTATAATTCACTCATTATTATTATATTTAAATTTTATATATATTTATATAAGTGATTCTTGAATAGAAAAGCAATTATTATAATTTGTACACAAATGGTATTTATATATATAATCAATAATATTAATATTAATCAGTAAACAAAATCGCTTTTCATATACTCTTTCAACAACTGGTCACTTGAAAAGTGCAAACCAAACAACAGAACTGATTGAACCACTGATCGACGTCTTGGACGACCACATCATAACCATATGAAACAACATATTTTTGTTATACTTTGAGGCATAAAATATATAACTCATTATTTGGTAACAAAACTACAGTATTATCGCAAGACATGTCTTCACAAATTGAATCACATATTTAAAGACCAAATTAATATATAAGAGATGAAGCGATCAGAGATTATAGTCAACTCTCGGATCACATCACAAGGCATTCATTGTAATTCCCGAAGTATTTCTCGAGTTGTTTTGTGGTCTGCGAGTCATATCATAATTGCTATGAAACGAGTCGTAGTCGTAATGGCTTTCCCTTAGAGGCATCGCATCGACAAAGTCTTCGTAGGATTCACTGTATTTATCGTCGGAGTAATTGCGGGACGAGTGATGCGCCCCTCCGGACAGCCATTCACTGCGATCACTAAAATCTTTATCAGCAGTCAAATTATTGTCAGGTATTTCTCTATAATGAGATGACATTGAAGGCCCACTTGTAGTCATATAATAGGGATCATCCATGGGATCAATACCCGGTCCGTAAGCACTTGTAAAATGTCGGGTTCTGTTTGCACTAACACTATAATCACGAGCTGTCCTCAGCTCCTGGTGAGGAGCGCCGTACATATCAATAGGAGATTCGTGGTCTGGAGTACAATCGCCAACAACCGGTCGCATCGTTTCATACCTGTCCACATGATATCTCACAGGCGACTCATTCATATTATCTCTCATTAATGCTGGACTATCAGGTCCAGAGTCGTTGAGATCCACTCTTCTGGCCATTTGATGCGGAGATGATATCATTGGCATAAGTGGAGGTCGAGAGGTGGTCACTGTTACTGCAGATGTCGAAGAGGCTTTGATGGGTGGATGAGTTGCTCTCCAATACGCCTCAAGATATTCAGCTAAATGTTCGCACGCCTCCTCTAATTGATTTTCATCGAGTAATACGTCAAACATTTCCTAATAATAGATTTTTTAAAATAAATATTAATTTAAATGCAATTTCAGTTAAATAAGATTAATACATACAACAGGACATTGGGATAACTTTTCTGCGGCAACCATTTGGACGTTTAGATTCCGAGACTGAGACTTCCCGCGAGATTTTATTAGCCTTTGCAATACCTTTTTATATAATTAAGTTATATTTATAGTAACAAATATGTTGTTTAGATAGTTAATGATAATAAATGATAATAAATAATGATACCTTAGGTGATGAGATTTTAAGATATACGCAAATAGGAGCTAACGATGTCTTTACTAGTTGTGAGGGATGATTAATGGTATCACAATCGAGAACCACTAATTGCATGGTTCGGGCCAACTCAAAGATACGCTCGATCTCGGCCTGAACTTCAGCTATAATTTCAACATAAAATATTACATTTTTATTGCTGTTTTCATACAGTATATGGACGAGTGTTGATGACGTACCCAGACATGAGGACCGACTATTTGAGCGCTCCATAAGAGCTCTTTTACTGGGATTGTTGAGTAACGAGCGTTTCGCTAGAGATATATCGGCACTGACGCGGGTTATTATAATCCGTCCCTCGAATCGGTGTTTTAAATAATCAAATAAAGCCTTTTGCATCATATCTGTCACTTCATAACCTTTAAGGGAAGGCCCAACCAAAACTACCGGACGCATTGAAGGCACGACATCATATGGAGGAATATTTTCAGACTTCTTGAAAAAAGGTTTTCTTCTTTCTTTAGCCGGTGGTGTCGATAGCGCTGACTTTCCTAATCGGGGATTGCCATCACTATCATCCATATCAATACCATTTTGATCTATAAATTGTTTAATTAATTAATTAATATACAGTATATATTTATTTAAAGACAATTATTATAAGAAATTATTTCAAACCCGGTGTGGGAGGACTGGAACCGCCGGAATTGGATGAGCGGGAAGTGATGAGGACTTCGCTAACCAGTCCTCCTAATGTAGAACCGGAGTTAGCTTTACTTGAATATAGTTTACTTCGACTCGTCTGTGTTTGTTGTAGTCTAAGAATTTCCAATTTGACGGGACTCGGGATGAAACCAACATCACTGCCTTCTTTGACAAGTCTGCCGATCCACCAGTCGTTGTTGTATTTCTATATAAAAAAAATTTACAATTTTTATTAGTCATATAATTGATATATTTGTTTATAAAATTTGTTAATTACTTCTTTGATGTGCAAGAAGTCTTTGATGCCAAAAGAGACGGCATATCCATGAATGGGAGAGTCGTCATCAACACTGCCATCGTATGACACATTAGTCCGAACGGCAAAAGCGACGGGTTTTGACTGACAATCATATCATTTTAGATAAAGTTAAACATAATATTTGATATAAGATATGACAAGAATATCAAATAAATGCATCAATTATTAACACATGTATGCAATCCTTTATCGATTGCACTGTTATCTCAACAAATAAGACATGAAGTGATCATATAGTATACAAACCCTGGCTTTGTCGAGCTGTGTGAGGGCCAGTCTCTCCGTTTCCCTCCTCATGGCCTCTCTTTCATCATTCAATGACAGCTCGGATGACGGCTGACTATAGCTATAATTTGAATCCCCGGAACCCTATCATCGTATCAATCAATTTAAATAATAAAAATAATACTTTCATAAGATATGCATGAATTTTAGTGAATATTATTCAAAATTACGATAAATTCTTTAGAAATTCAAATAAAAAAATTACAAATTTCATGATAAATATTGTCGGACGACATCAGTGGTCATAATTAAACCGCAAAGGTTTGCCACCGATTGACCACAAATTGCGGTTCAATTGCGTCACATAAACAATGAACGCGTGAATTCAGTTCACAAAAAAACCAAACCATACATTACACACACACTATATATACATTTTAATTATATATATATATTAATGTATATATAGTATATACTCATTGATAATGTGTGTATAATATATTGGTGTTATAATAGAGTGAATATTCTGTTAGTGTGTTAGCTCTAAATAAGCTCTAAATACTGCTAACTATGGGTTACTAATCAGTTGCTTATATCACACCAGAGGGCGAATCAATCAAATATAATAGTATTTCATATATTAATTCATATAATATTATTGTATTATTATTATATTATAAATTATCTAAAAAATCTTCGATTCATGCAATATATAGAAAAATTCCTCAAAATTTTTTAATATTTTTATGAATAATACATTATTTTCAACAACAAAAATATTATTAAACGCTAGACAGAGACGTGCATTACAAACAAATACTAACATAAAAACACATTTTATATAAACCTAAAACACTTCTTTAATATAAACAATAAACCTTATGATTCATTTTACTGTATATTTACATAATATTATACTGTATAATATAAGTTATAATATGATATATAATATATATTATATATAATCGTTAAATTTGTTTTGTTTTAACTCAAAATAATATTAAATTTTTTAAATTTCTGGATTTTAATTAAATACTATAAACGAGGATTATAATACCATTATTTTTTAAATAAAATTTTAGTGTTTTTATATTTAATTTTATTAAACAACTTTTAAATAGCTTTTATTCTTTAAAGTTTAAACCTAATAAAGTAAATAAATTTTAATTAGATCAGCAATAAAATACAAACACTATTTGATAATAGAGTATATGTTTAAGTAATTTATTTGATTAATAAATCTCTAGTTATTCATTAACTTAATTTGAATATAACTTAATGTGTTAATTATAAATATATATATATAATATATATAATTTTTTTTAATCATTTATTTACTTAATTTATAAAAAACATGTTAATATATTGTATTTTCCAAACAAATAACAAGGATTTTTAGTATATACTGTATGTATAGAATAAATATTGTGTGTATTATATATATACAATATATATTGGCAAATACATTGTTTGCAATAATGTACTTTTTATAGGTTTATTAAAAAATAAAATAATAGATAAAATATATTTTATATTTTCACTTAAACCAAACAACAATAGCTCAGTCATAACAAAACGGAATTCCTTTAATTAATACAAGTCTCACAGGAAATGAAGATTTTATAGAAAAAGAGATTTTAAGAAATTATGATTAAATTGTTTTCAATGATTATTACTTTAATGGCCTTTATTTAGTTCTAACGCTTTTAAAACAGTTATTACCAGTTTATGAAATATATCAATTTATGATCTGATAGTAGTATAATATACAGTATATTTTGTTGGTAAAGTAGTTGTCATAATAGTTTAAAATGTAGAGAATACTAAAATTATAAAATTTATATATTCAATTCAATTAATTTATGCAACTTATAAATTAAAAATATACTGAATAATTTATAATCTACAAATAATATTTAAAGTTCAAAATCAGGTTATATTAAAAATATTAAAAAAATATATTAATAGGTGTTAAGCAATGTTTTATTTTTAATTATGATCAACTAAACTAACTGACTTTTAACAATATCTATTAAGAATTAAAATAATTATTTTATTATTATTATGAAATGTGTTGTCTTATTATTATATTGTTTCAAAATATAATAAATATTAAAATCCAGAGAAACGTATTTTTAAAATTATTTCTTTACAAAATATATTAAAATTATAAGAATATCATATAATAAATAATGATATATAGTATTTAAAATTAATTGATTTTCATGTTAACATCAAAATAGTTATGACATATACTTTACATTATATTTGCTATAAAATATATCATATAAACATATAAAACAAACTATCATATTAAGCGACATATAATAAATAACCTTAAATTTAATAAATTATTTTTATTAAGCCATATTTCGCTATTAAATTTAAACAACGAGTATTATAACAATTAATAAAAATAATAAACTTGCATTTTAGATTTTTTTGCTCATAATAAAATAATTTGATAATATTACCTGGATCAATACTAAACATTAAAATGTGTAAACTTGTAACTATTAAGTTTTCATGACAATAATTATTTATTGATACATAAAAATTTTCTTATTGCATTAATTAGTTTTTTAAATTATATATTGTACTGAAATAATATATTTAATGCAAAAAATGCATTAAACATTAAATAAAAAGTTAATCTAAATTTATATTAAGTGTTATTATTTTAGCTATTAAAACAATTCAAATAGTTAACTAATAATAATCTGCAAAATTTGATTTTTTTGAGTTAAATTTATTAAGTATATGTACTGTTTATATACAGTATTTACAATAGAGCTTATCATCAAAATAAATCTTATAATTTATTCATTATATTAGTTAATAGTTATAATTTTAACATTTTTACAGTACTTCCCTATTAACAAATACACAGTAATATAATTATTCTTATTTATATTTTTTTATATATAATTTAAATTATTAAATAGCATAACATACTGTATATTATTTAGATGTGATAATCTTATAATCATCACACTATCAATAAAATTATTTGATTAGTATATAACATTAATTATATTTTTAATTATTCTCTAAAATTGGCAAAAAAAATAATTATTTAACTTTAATAATAATTTAATTAGTAATATTAATAATGACCACAATAATTATTTAATAATAATAATATTTGTAAATAAAATAAGGTGCAATAAAGCGTTGTACTGTATATACTGTAAATATATAAATAAATTATGCTTATAAGTGAATATTAATGGATATAATTGTACATAAATTAAATATAGTATAAAAATGATAAAATTTTGAAATTATAAATATATTAATGATATAATTAATGTATAAATTGTGACAATAATTGTTATTATAGAGAGTATATGTCTTTAGTCTTCACTCACCGAAACATCCATTCAAATGAATGCATTACACATTCCGTTAAATGCCTGCAAATTATATTGTTTTTTAGCAATTGTTAATAACATAACACTTAATATTTATTCAAACAAACAATTAATATCTAATACATACTAAACTAATTATTGGACGCACACCTAATTGTGACATTAAATAAGATACAAACAAACATTGGGTTTGGGAAATGGCATTCAAACATTGATGTGACAAACATTTACGTAGTATATACTGTATATGCAGTATATAAAACAAAAATTGCATACATTTTTGTCATAATAAATAAATCATATGCTAATTCATTGAATTATAAAAACATATTATTATTACAATTGGGTTAACAAACAAATTTAAACACATAAATGGAAACATCAATTGATTTTTTGGTTATTAATAAATTATTATAAATAGCTTACCTTAAATTAATGAATATAAATATATATATATACTTAAGTACAGTATATATATATATATTGCTGTGATATTGTAATCGCCAGCAATTATACTAAAATGACTAATAAAAACAACACTAATCAGGAGATTACAAAAAAAACAGTTTAATTATATTTCAAAACATCGTATATATACTGTATATATATTATATAAATATCATTGTTTTAAATACATTTTCAAATATTATAATAACAAACAAATATTATATACACAATATAATCACATAATTGCTTATTAATATTCATTTAACAATTCAATTAATGATTAGCCACTTATAGAGCTATTAAAACAATTGATAAATACAAACATAACAATCATTAGAAATCGAAATAAATAATATCAATATTTTATTTGTTTATTCACTCAAAAGCATTACATAAACACAATATAATATAAGTATAAGTATAGAGTGTTTGATGAAAATACATGTTTAGTCATAACCGTAGAGCACTGTTAACACACATTATATGAGCGCTCATTACTATTACCCGTAAAGCCATCAGAAATTCTATTCAAGAATATTCCACACAAATTGCTATTCAATGCATACATTCAATACATTACAATATTGTACTGTATATACAGTACTGCACTATATATATGATACTAACGTTATTATTATACGACCCATAAAACACATTTAAACTGTATATCAAATACATGTATTAATTTATAATAGAAATTGATATGTATTTTGAAATTAATCTTATGATTCAAATAATTAATGATTCAAATTATTAATTAATATCTGTATAGAAATATAACTTTAAACTTTAAATATACAACAAATGACAGTTAATTAATTAATTAACTTTTAAATAAAAAATATATTTTTATTAATTTTGTTAAATAATGTTATATAAAAATATGTAACAAATATAATGAAAATATTTCGGCTGAAAGTGTTAGTCCGAGACCTGAGACTAACTGTTTGTGAAATTTCATTATTAATATTCTTGTTTTGGGCCACTGTTTGGCCCATAGTTTTCCCGAACTGGATGTCGGGTCAGACCAAACAAGTGAGTGATAATGACATTATCAGTGATATCGAAATATGCAGTCATGACTCAAATTTTACTGCCGATGACCGACCAGACTGTCCATTAATGGCACCGAATTTAGGTAAGAGTTAAATAGAAATACTAATAATAAGTAAAATAAATGTTTTATTTTTACTGATTTATAACAATAGTTTCATATTTCGATGTTTTAACCAAAATTGACAATCAGTTGATTGAATCGATTGCCGCAAAGTATGACATTAGGATTGGTGGTAGACGTGAGCCAAGACATTGTCGAAGTGGACAACAAGTGGCTATTGTTGTGCCGTTTAGGAACCGATGGACACACTTATCATTGTTTTTACAACACATGCATCGCTTCTTAAGCGAACAACTCATTGATTATACGATATTTATCGTCGAACAGAACGACACCAAAGCCTTCAATAGAGGAAAACTTTTTAACATCGGTTTTGTTGAATCAAATAAATTGCAGTCATTTTGTTGTTTCATATTTCACGACATCGATGTCCTGCCTATGAATCAAAAGCAACTCTATTATTGTTCACACACTCCAAGACATGTTTGTTCTCATTTGGATAAGTTTCGGTTTGTTCTCATATATCCAAACTTGATAGGAGGTGTTGTAGCCATTACTAAGAGTCACTACCAATCAGTTAATGGCTATTCAAATGGTTTCGAGGGCTGGGGTGCAGAAGACGACGACTTTTACAATAGAATTCAAGCCAAGTCTTTGATATTAACGCGATGGTCGCCACACATCTCCCGATGCATTATGTTGAAGCATAAGAGACAGAAACCCAATCCTAATCGTAAGTCTCTACTTGAGTCGGGAAAGTCATTGTATGATACGGACGGACTTAATAGTCTTGACGATACATATAAAGTTGTTGCTATTAATTTTCAACCATTATATACATTAATAAAAGTCCAATTATAATAATGTTAGCAAAATTGATAAAATTTTAATATTTATCAAAATCAATATAAACAACTTAAAGGGATATTATCAAGTGATGATCTTAAAAATCATAAATACAATAACATATGGACTGTATATAACATTTTGTGATACTAACGGAAATCAATTTAACATTATTATTAATAGTATTACTGTTAACCATTTTGTTAAATTACCGGTAACTCTATTTTTTGTATATATTTTGTAGTAATAAAATAAATAATTTAAATTTCCAAAAATTAATTCATTTATTCATGAGTTCGATAATTTCTAAAATTTAGTAAAAAAATTAATCTTTAAATAATTGTCAATATAAATTCATTAATGATGTATTAGAATTTAATTAATCTATAAATCGATTAAATTATAATTAAATAATTTACTAAATAATTGGATTAACGGGTAATCTTTGATTTTGTTCTTTGAAGTAATGAATCGAAATCCATGTGTTCTGACCTGAATTTGTCGTCTTCAGCATAATCTGTAATGTAAAGCATTGGTAACAATGCATCAAACAAAACAATTTATCAAATATTAACCTAAGTCTGAGTAACGTGTTTTACAAAACTGTCGGCGACCTCCAAAGCTTAGATCAAACTTTGGGTGCCGAGTGTCCTCATTTGCATCTATATTACAAAGACAATACACATCAAATAAAACAAGTAAACAATTGCAATACAAAACATACGTTCAATGGCCTGACAGGCGTCACTCCTATTGACAAATGTGACGAAAGCATAGTTATCACCATAATCTCTGAAATGAACGCTAACTTCTTTAATGGTACCGAACCTACAAAACCAATGTCTTAAATCATTTTTGGTGGTCCCGTCGGGAATCTTTCCGACGTAAATGATTTTTCTTTCGTCAATGTCTTGCTTTCCTTTATATGGTAATGCATTTCTTGGTTTTTTCATATTATTTACATTTCTCTTATTACGACTATTATTATTATCAAAACTATTTTGACAGTAAGATTCCTTCAGTGATCTCTTATTTGTAAACTCCTTGCCTTTACTATTATTTCTCATAATACTATTCGTTAGATTAATATTTCTAATATTACTGTCATTTGATTCGCTACTTAAATATGAATCACTAGAAGAACATGAACTGCTTCGCGAAGATCTCTCAGAATCTGATGAACTATCAACTGATGAACGCGTCGATACTCTACGACTTCTTTGTGTCGATGGAATTGAATAAATCTTCTTCATTGGTTCTCTACTTCTCGATCTTGACCGTCGACTCAAAGAATCCTTTTCTAAATTATTAGATTTATTATAATTCGCATTATTATTAGTTTTAACTAATTGTTGTGTCGATGAAGTGTTTGTTTGATCAGCAATTTGATTCATTTTAAGACTATTATTATTATCAATTAAATCCAAGTCTTCATTTAATAAATAATTAGTTATCAATGAATTAACATCTTCAGTGTCGACATACTCTCCCTCTTCCAACTCTTCATTAAATTCAGATATTATATTAATGTCAGAATGTTTAGTGTTGTCCTCAAAAAACACTTCCGAAACTTCAATATATGCTATAAATATGAATAATTATCGGTAAATATAACAAAAATATATAAAATAATAGTTAAACAAACCGTCATTTAATTCAATTAAAATATCTTCTGTCGTGTCGTTATTGTCATTAAAATCAAGAAATCCTTTCATATAATCAGGTATTTTGTCAAATGTGAGTGTACTTTGAGGACTCGGATCTATGTCTGAATTTGATAGAAAACTTTTGGATAACAAATAATCGGGTATTTTATTATAAAGTTTTTCGTTGTCATTGTTGGTCACTAAACAATAATCGTGTTCTTGTTGTAAATATGAAGAGATGGCATCGATTGTCTTTGATTTAAAGTTCAGTAGAGAACGCTTTGCCGGACTTTTCTTAGGTTTGGCCAACAAAGAGATGCCTTTACTCTTTGAAGTCGACGATCCATTTGTCTTTGATTTACGAACTTTTGGTGATATAACAACCGATGCCTTTTCCACTTTAGTTTCAGAGTTGGCGACATTAGTCATGTTACCGGCGCTGTAATTAGTGGTTTCGTTGGCCATAAAATTAAGTCCACTATTTTGTTGTTCTTCAAACATGTTTAGCAATGTATCTATACTTTCGGCCTCTAAACCAAACTCAAAGTCCGATCGGGACAGCGGTTCACTTAAATCAAAGTCATCCATTGTGTCCATAAGTGTCGAATCCATTGTGAAAAAATCACCAAAACATGAGTCTATAAGACTTGGATCCAAGTCTTCGGAAGTCATCTAAATGGACAACAAAAACAAAATATTTTAAGTCTGCTATCGGACCACATCTTCACCACATTTTTAATCATAATTATTCACTTTTCAACAATAAAACAGACGAAATATGATAGAAAAATAAGTGATAATAAAGAGAGTAGTAATCAAATGATAAAATTGGTCACTAATATCATGGATGAAGACAATGGACATCCATATGTCTAACATGTGGTTCAATGCAAGCATTGCCTTACAATTGGGCGCTAAATATCACTATATCTCACATTAACTTACATTTAATTTGCTTTTAATTACAATAATCAGTTCAATCAAATAAAAATATCACATAAATTGGTTACTTGTCATCACTGGTTGCCGTCAAGTGTTAGCAAATTTAAGACAAATAGAAATCAATAGTTGATTGGGAACTACACGTGGACTCGCCTAAGGCATACATATATAGACAACACTTACAGTCTAACTGTGCCCTTATTGTTACACTTTATTTCATTTGATTGGCACTCAGATATCATTGACTGTTGATGTCATGTCCATCAAGAGTTCAGTTGAGACTTACCTTCAGCGGTGATATTAACGATCAGTCACTCGATATTAACGGACAACACATCAGACATCACTTGAAAAATATAGTATAAATAATTAGATAATAGTTGTGTTGTAATACAGTGTATGCCTTATAATGCAATTGAGTGGCGCTTTAATACACTTTATGGCAAACATGTGATTCATGTGCTTCACTACTATAGCATGGATTGCATACACATTGTGTGTAAAGAATACAACTCTGTATACAATATACTAGTATATCATTACTTTTAGTATTCAAATACACTAATCATTGTACACATTGTATCGTATAGTACTGTACTGTACAGTACTATACAGTATTACCGGTATATCCATACTGTAGTCAAAGTTTATTATAAGCACCGGGTATTACATTACCAGTAAATATAGAGCACATGCAGTCAAATGGAGTTTTCCATTTAATATACATTTACAGTATATTATTATAATGTATAATAATGTTGATAATAGTGACAAATGATAAATTAAATTATAATATTAATACTAATACTGTATTTGTTTATTAATTAAAATCTCATACTTTATTATTATTATTGATGCAATAATATTGTATTTAAATATATTTTAATACTGTATATAGTTTTAGATATAAACAATAAATTGTCAAATTGCCAATAATTGATGTTTCAATAGATTTATGACATAAATAATTATCATTTATATTTTTATCATTATCATTGATAGTATTTTATTTTATAATATTTCAAATGTTTAAACAATTCTATTGTAATGGCATTTCAATAAATTATTTGATTGAAAAATAGAATATATTTCTAAAAAATATTAAAAAATAAAAAGTTTATAAACTCCTTTCAAACAATTGTTTTTTTACCAAATCATAATTGTCATCATAAGTGTAGACTAAATCTGTTAAACTTACAATAATTATTAGTACTTTTAATTAATAATGTATGACATTAAGTTTAAAAAGTATTTTGTTATTATTTAAAAATTAGTATTTCTAAAAATTATTATTAATATTATTATTAAATTATAATTTAAAAATAACATTTTTTGTATTTTTAAAACCAAAATGAGACAAAATCTTGTTGGACAACATTACTTCATATAATATTAATACTAATACTGTACAGTATATTCCAACTAAAATATAAATCATTTCATTATTAGATGAAATATTAGTATATAAAAACATTAGAATAGATGCTCCCATGTGCCTTATCCAGGTGGCATTAGTGTAGTCAAAAATAAATCGTAATGTTGTATATGAATGGCTAATGCAGTATAATATTTAGTACGTACTAAACATTTTAGTACGTACTAAAATGTCTCTTAAAATAGAGTATACTTTAGTACGTACTGAAATATTTAGTACGTACTGAAATATTTAGTACGTACTAAAATGTTTAGTACGTACTAAATATTATGGTACATTTTTTAACTATATAACTATATAACTATACTGTTAGTTAGTTAGAAAAATAGTATCTATATTACAATAGAATCAAATATGATTTTAATTGATAGTTAATAAACTAATTATTATATAACTTAAGAGTACTCAAATAAAATAATTAAATGATATATTAATCGTATTTTATTGTTGTATTTTTGTTGAACAATGAAATTAAATTTAAACAAAAAATTTCATATTAATTAATTAAATGTAATATTATATAATTAAATGAATTAATTTTTCTTAGCACTTTTTTTTAATTTTAATACATAAATTTTAATATTTAATTTTATCGGATTTAACTACTTATTAGTTATATTTTCTCTAAGCGATTTCAAATCAATCAAATTTATAGTTAGTTTAAATATTATCGTTAAATAACTCGTCGTCTAATGCCATTTCTTTTGATAAATTGTTGAAATCAATTGTCGAATCATTTGATTTTTGGTAAGCATTTTCTTTGGCAATAAGATCAGAAAAAATGTCTCCGAAAAATCACTTGAAAATTGTGTTGTTTTCTTATTAGTTGTCAAAACTTTAGTGTCTGTTTGATTGGTATTTGGTTTGCCATAAATTCCTAAATCTGAGATTAATATCTGAAAACAACAGACTTGACATTGATAGTAAATTTAAAGGCAAGTAATGCTTAGAACTTGAGATCAGTTGATATGACTTAAATGTATTAACTGATTTTGTATTAAATCCTATATCCGATAAATCAAAATCAACAAAAATGTTTACAATTTTTTTGTATTGGATATCAAATCAGTTTTTGGTTTCTGTTTCAGTAGAGTTTCATTTTACAGCACTGACTTTGATAATTATCATCACTTTTATCTATCATTTTAGAAATTAAATTAAAACCAATATATTATATTTCTATTATAAATTATTTACTTTTATGACATTTCAATTATAATTACATGACTCACATTACTCATAAGCACATAGTATAATTGTAATAAAGTAATTTTTTATATAAGTTTAAAATAATCTATTACTTTAAATTTAGTATTTTTTTAACTTAAATTTACTTAAAAAACAATTATCTCAATATACAAATTATATAATATTTAAATATTTTTTCGTTGATATACGTTAGTTAAAATTTAATACTAATATACTTTTTATTTTGTTAGTTTTTTAATTTAATAATAAATAAAATTTATAATTTTTCAAATAAATAAATAAAATTTTATGTTCATATATGTGCTACAAGTTGTTTTATTATTAAAATCATTAAAATTTACAAATATATATAAAATAATGTGTAAAAAACAATATTTATCAATTTATATGCAATAAAATAAATATCATAAAATACATTTTTAAAACAATATTATATTAATATTTGTATCTTATATAAACATTATTTTTTACAATTTTTTTATAAAAATAAACTTAATATGCATTACTCTGAAATTTATATGGTAAAATAATTATAATATATTTTCATCTGTATCTTATATTTGTTACTTTTTGTATAAATAGGATTATTAAATGTATTATTTTTGCATCAATAAATGCTCCAAAAAATTTATAAAATTATTATTAAAATAAAATAAATATTTTAGTAAATATTTATTTTGTTAACTTTATGTTTGCAATAAATAATTGTTTTGTATTGATTATAAGTTTTTGTTTTGTTTAGATAAATGTTTTGATTATAATTGTTCAATAAATTCATTATAAATAATAATGTGTGTATTTATAAGTTTATAATATTTACTAATAGTTTATTTTATGACAATTTTTTTGATAGAACCTTATTAATACATTTCAATGTATATTTAAATATTATTATATATTTTAGTTAATGATAATGTATTCATTTGTATATTTGACTATTTTATTAACAATAATAAATTAATTAATTTTTATATTCATTTAAATATTCAATTATTAATTAATCAAAAATTAATTAGAATATATTAAAATAAATAAAAAATTATTTTAAATCTAAAACATTTTATAAACTTTAAATTAAAATTTTAATTTTTATAATAAAAAATTGATTTTGTAATTCACACATATATATAAATAAATTTATATATCTATTTTTATTTTATAATTTTTCTTATGGTAAATGCTTTGTAAGTTGATTATGATTTATTATTTCTATAAATATTTATAGCTATTTATGTTGGATAGATGTAGATGTAGAGAATTATTTCATTGCATATCTATTTTTCTATAAAAAAATTCTACAAATATTTTTTAAATAAAGTTTAATTAAATAAATTATAAAAATAAACACAAAATATCTAATATCAATTAAACTTTATTATACTCTCAACTAAATGCATATGTATTAAATTAGTTTTGTGATTAATAGTTCATTTTAATGCTTTTCCTTTTATATTTTAGTTTTTAAATAAAATTTGCCTATTATTAGATTATATTATATGTGAAACAAATACAATAAAAGTATTGATCAATAATCATTATTAATGCAATAATGCACTATAATATATCTACTATATTTTAATACGGCTAAACTTTTTTTTAATAAAAATTGACCCTATAATAAAATTAACATTAAATTGAATAATTAAATACATAAACATTTTTATGCATTAAATTTAGTTATGATTCATTAAAATTTATATCATACAATATCAATGAGAAATAACATAAATTTCAATAAATATTAAATTATAAATATATAAATTAATTATTTACTAAATTAAAGTTATATATTAAATAATTATTTTAAAATTTTTACAATATTAAAAACAATTTCAATAAAATTACTAATATTATTTAATGCTAAAAATAACTAAATAAAATATAAAATTATTATTATAATACTAAAAATGGTTTTAAAAAAATTATATATAATTAAACATGTATAACACAACTTTAATCAATGCTAACAAATAATACAAAATTTAAATACAAAACAGATCTTATAATTCATGTATATTTGTTAAAAGAGTGTTATATAATATTATTTAAACATTCAATAAAATGAATATAATAAAATTACTATTGTAACTTATTTAGTTGTAATATATATAAAGTATAAAAATTCTAAAACATTTTACTGCATAAATGTATTAAAAATTTGCTCAACTGAACCCTATATGAAAACTTACTGTTGTTTTTTATAACTCATTATTTTATTATATCATTAATTCAATTGAAGTTTTTTCAAATAATTATTTATAACAAAATAGAAATAAAAATTATTTTTGTAACTAAAAAATATATAATTAAATTCATAAATCAAAACATATAATCAAATAAATTTGTATACCAAAAATATAAATTACAATTTAGATATAATTTTTTAAATGTTAAAAATAATTCATTACATAAAATATTAAATTAAAAGAAATGATTATTTTTTTGTATTATTTAAAATTTAAATAAAGATTTTAAAATTTATAATCAAGTACTTAGGAAATTATTTTATATATTATTCATTTTGATACTAGTATTAAAAATGATAAAATAAAATTAGAATTATTTAATTGTCTATTTATTTTATTAAAGTAATATAAATATTTTATTATTGATTAAATTGAAAACAATGTTAGCAATTATATAAAACAATTTATAGAAATGTATATCTTTTATAATATCAAAAAATTAGTAATAACAAGTAAACTTTAATCAAACTATATATTTAATTATACAAAATAATTTTTATACAAAATTTGTTAAACATTTATTTGTTAACAAAACAAATAAATGAAATAAAAACTTTTAGAAAAAATTAATCAATTACATTAAATATTATATTAATAATGTTATAAATTTTTAAAATAATAAATATTATTTAATATTTATAAATATTATACATTTAATTATATATAATTAGCAGAAATAAGATACAAATGATAATAAAAATTATGTTTAATTTAATTAAATTATAAAATATATAAATATACCTATTTAAATATGTAAATATTAATTTGTTATTCCTTTAAACATATTTTTGTAAGTGTAAAATCTTTAATAAAATTAATTTATTTAATTTATAAATCTAACTATAATAAGTCTTTTTATATTTAAATTGGTTAAAATTATTATTTTGTTTAGTAGCAAATTTTAGTGCAATTAACATCAAAACTACTAGTAATTATATTATAAATATGAACACATTTTATTTATTTCTTTAAATAAAATATACATAGTATTTTTAATTAAGTTAAAAATTAACAGAAACTGTAACAAAATAAAGTCTAATAAAAATCACTGACAAATATTTATTTTAATTTTTTTAATATTGAAGTTATATTATTTGGATATTAAGCTAGTTTGCTAGTATAATTTTAAGATTTTTAATATAATAATTGTATATAAATTTAAATTATTACGTTATTACAATTATACTGTTTCATATGAGTCATGTTAAATATGTATTATAAATAATGATTTTAGTTGTTAAAAAATACCAGAAACTGTAACAAAATAAAGTTTATTACATATTATATTTAAGTATATCAATGATATATACTAAATATGTCAAATATAAATTAAGAATTAAATAAAAATAATTATGAATATAAAATATGACATTTAAAATTTTATTTAGTTATATTATTTTTGAATCGTCTTATATGGTATAATTAATATTTAGTTAAATCCGATAATATAAAAACAATTTTTTACATATTAAATTAAAATGAAATTTTTTTAAATAAGTTTAATTATAAACGATTAATAATTATTAAATTATAATATATTTTATTATTTTAGTCTAATACAAGTAGAATAATTAAAATTAAATTATTATCAATTATAATTATATTAGAAAGTATTATATAAACTTTTTTCTAATTAACTAACAGCATAGTTATATATTTTTAAAAAGTACCATTGAATAAAAATCCATTGCTCTCCACAACATATATATACATACTGTACTAATAGACTATCTATACGTTAGATATACTGTACTGTATATGTATTGCTTATGTAGCATACATTTTAGTATACAATTGTCTCACTCAACTGTTGTTGTACTTCACTCACTGGTATCAAATTAGATTGAGTTGAGGACATGTTTTGTTGATCAATTGACGGTACAATTGGCTGATGATAACTGTTTTCAGTTGATATGTCTTCAGATATATCTAAATCAACGCCTGTCTATTCGTTATCGTTAGTCACTTCCATGGACTCTTGAGTATCGGTTTCATACATATTTTTGTGACCATTTTTCTGTTGATTTGTAATATGTGTCAAAATATTGACATCTAATTTAAAAATAAAATATTAGTTGTTTCGGTTATTTATATATATATATATATTTAAAAATATAAAAAATACTTACGATCAAAATCACATTTATTTGAATACATATTTAATAAACTAAATTATAACTTTCTAACGGTATAAATAATAAAAAAAATTTAATATTATTTAATTATTTTTAACGACATAACAACATCATTGATATCCATTGTTTTTCACAACACATATACATACAACACTATACAATCAATCAATCAAACAGACTATCCATACTATTGATATACAGTACAGTATATGCATTGCTTACGTATCATACATTTTAGTACGTACTAAATATTGCTCTCCACAACGCATACATATATACTGTACAAATAGACTACCTATACATTTTTCTGTTTCTTTCTTTTTTTTTTTTTTTTTTTTTTTTTTTTTTTTTTTTTTTTTTTTTTTTTTTTTTTTTTTTTTTTTTTTTTTTTTTTTTTTTTTTTTTTTTTTTTTTTTTTTTTTTTTTTTTTTTTTTTTTTTTTTTTTTTTTTTTCTCTCTCTCTCTCTCTCTCTCTCTCTCTCTCTCTCTCTCTCTTTTTTTTTTTTTTTTTCTCTCTCTCTCTCTCTCTCTCTTTTTTAGATATACTATACAGTATACCAGCATTACTGTTAATATTCTGTATAGTATATGCATAGCTTATATACAGTAAATGGCTTTTAGTTTATGATAAATTCGCCAGGGTCAGCACCTGACGGAGCATAAAATTTTAATAAAAGTTTATTTTCACAACTCAAATGGGAGCTTCTATTCTAATGATACATTTATAATTATAAAATATCATTATATGTAATAATATGATTAAATTATATATAATACGGTATCTGTAAAAGTTTTATTTTCTATGTAATGTAATTTTAAATGTTAAAATTTGTTGCTTTTTAATAATCCTAAATAAAATATAGCAACTATTTTCTAATTTTTAGATTTATAAATTGGGAAAATTGAACTAACTTATAACAATGTTATTAATTGTACAATAATGTAGTATCAATTATATGCTAAATATTATGATGGTAAAATAACCAAGGTTATATTTATGGATTACAAACCAGGATTTCCCTACCATTTCTCTTATAAATTATATAATAATATATTAAATATTATATAATATTAATTTCATATTTTTTAATTAAAGTATCAATTTATACAATTTCCGGTTTAATATAAGAGAAATTGTGTCAATTCAACAAATACTAGTTTTTTAATAATTAGTTTATTAAATATCAATAACAATAATTAATTGACTATTAATTTATTAACTAACTTATTATTATTATTATTACAAATTACCATAATGGTTTTATATATAATATATTTATTTTTATTAAATAATTTAAATAAATTTTATTCAACGTAAGTAATAAATTTTTTATAATTTAAATAAAAATTTGAAATAGTTTTATAAAAAACAATTTGAATAAAAACTTTGATAATTTAATAACAGAGTATATATTTATTTTAAATTTAATATAGTTTTACATATTAAAATAAATTAAAATAATTTTATTTGTTTTTAAATATAACTGATGTCAACAGTGAGTGATATGGCTATTGAATCAATAAATATATAATTTTATGGCAATTTTTGTTACTGAAGTGACACTTTGAGGAACTCCGGTAACGTTAACTTAATGTATCCGTTATGAACCGGGTCTTTATTGTCAAACATATTGAAAGCCATCACCAAATGCAGTATCGCTGCTACAAAGTCACCAAACCTTAGGGTTCCGTCTTTTCGCATATACCTCAGCGTTAAAGAAGACAGGATTTCAGTATTCAGTTGAAAACCTTTAGAAATAATATATATATTTATTTGTTGACAAAAAGGTTGAGTTTTTTTAAATGACAAACCGATATCATTGAGTGCTTCGTGAAGTTTTTCTGCCCGAAGAATACCAGTTGTGCTTTTGGTATGAGTTTTGAAAGAGTTTTGCCAATTCCTTAGTGAACACATTATATTTTTATAATCATTATATTTTAGACGACCGTTTCCACAGCTCTACACACAAAAATATATGTATTTTATAAATAAATTCAACTGAAAAACTAATATTTTATCTTTTATTACCTCTAATGTAATGACTATTTGACGACAAACATCAAGAGTGGCACAAGACTTGACGTAATCATTTGGCAAACATGTCTCCAAAAGCTCTTGCAATTCAAATGCATTTATAGTTTTGTTCTGTGATTTGCAATTAAGAGGTTATTAATTTGAATAACATTTTTAAATCAAATAATAATAATAATAGTAAACCTCATCAGCGAATTGCATGAAGAGAGCCTCGTATTGAGCAAACTTGTGGTCAAAAGATGCCGGAGCTTTGCTTATAGCAGGCTTTATGATTGCTGGCGTATAATCCATTTGTTTAATTTTTAAAGATTTTGATGATTGCATTCGTAGTGAAAACTGTCCCTCTTGTCCTATAATTACAGGAAATTTAGTAATTAAATATATATATATAATTAATATTTATAATTGCTATTAAAAATCAATTAATACCGGTTTCATATGTTGTGGGCAATAATACATAAGTTCCCGACTCTAATGTTGTCCTGAGGACAACATATTTACTATTTATATACGAAGAGCTAATGAGTGATTTATTTTTCTTAAAGAATGATTTGTCTAATTTATTGTCAATATTATTGGGAAGCGTTAGCTTTACCGGTGATGTATATAAAGTAAAGCCAATAACTTTAGCCTCGAGTAATAAATGTTGATTCAGACAAATGACAATCTCATCGGTTTCGGGCAAAAAAAGTTGTATTTGAGGATTAATATGAAAAGTGTCAAAATTATTCCGACAGCCGCCAGCCGTCACTCCTTTCTTCCAATTGCTTCTTAAGAACTTCATGTGCCACGGATTGTGTCCTTTAAGGCTCGGCTCATCCTTACTGGTCTCCAAATCCAAGTGAATCACTTCCAATACCGTAAACACTTTGATGAACTCGTTAAAAGTCATCCAAAACTCTCCATCAATTGTGTATTTGTGATTGAATTTATTCTTAATGTCTTCGCCGACACTCTTCCACTCAATAGAGTCCTTATTCCACGTACCGATGTAGTCATTGGACAAACCAATTGGATTTCGTAGTCTTACTAATTGAACGATATCTCCATTTATGGGCTCAACTTTCTCAATGGCCATCACTCGGTAATTATTTCCAATGACTATACCGTTGGCCATCTTTTCACAAACACTTCGATTATTGGTCTCAGTCGACGATTCTTTCTGAACGACTGCTGTTATGATTGAAGTCATACTCAATAATTTGCTCATAACATCCATAAGTCTTTGTGTGTCTTTTATAATAATTGGTTCACTTATACCACCCGTCAAATCAGCCAAACCTTATAATCAAATTATACAGAATTTAGTATTAATTAAAATCGATATATAATTTAATTGTTTAATATTTGATAATACCATCCAAAGAGTTTCCGTATTTGAGTGCTTCATAACTTCCATGAAGTTTAGAGTAGGCTTTCTCAAGAAGTGATGGCCAATATTGGTTGCCGTGAAGAGAGTGAATAAATATTAGTTTGTTGTTAACCGTTGGTAACCTATCGTCAACCAGAATCTCTTTCCACTCTCCGTTCCACCTTTTATTGAATATATCAAAAATATCAATAAATATATAGTCGAGTCCTTAAAATTTTGGTTAAATGTTATCTAAAAAAACCCACCAAATCCTGAAGCGAAACATTCCGCAATATTCTTCGTCATCAAAACTTTGATCGGCCGGAACTACTCTATAGAACAGTCCTTTGGTAGTTCTTAAGCAGCCCATCACTGATGTCAACCAGTGATCACCTAATTGTTATAAATTAGACAAATTTAAATACCAAACGAAAAGACAATATATAGCAATATACTAATCGTTTAATTCATACCGAGTTTTCCGGCACTTAAATTGCAATAATTGTTTTGAGTTTCGGTGAGAAAGACAGGGTTGGAACAGATATCTTTCGGTCGCTTCCATACAAATTGAAAGGGAGGCGTCTCGTGATAAAAGACTGACGACTGATTGCACGCAAAATCTATGTCTTCATAAAGTTCTCCTTTTTTTAGGAGACTTTTTCTCAACTTTTCAAACTCAGTCATACTTTTTTACTCGAGACCAACACTTTGAAAGATCTTTACTTCAAAACATTAAAAAGTATTTAATGTTTCACTACTTTTCCATTAATAAGTTTTTTCTCAATGAAATAAGTTTGCAAATCAATCATTAATTAAGAAAGCATTAGTTTAATAGACAATTAAGTGTCGATAAGATTGCTGTCGATTATCGAGTGATTGATTTAACACACATTACGGCTCCGGTAATGTCTATACACTATCAGAAAACACGAGACAAACTCAGTTGACTGATTGGCACTTTTAGCACTACAGATGTATACCTGACCTCTAAGTGAATGAGTCGATAAAATTAACTCTCGTGTTTAAAATGGCTCAAAAACTGGGAACAGGTATGTAATGCAATGTATAACGCAATCGGAAACATCAAATCTGGTCGAAAAACAACACATAGATTTGCTCTATGCTTGAGGCGGAACTATAGACACCTGTACTATAATTATTACCTGTATTTCTGTTATATACATAATACAGTATTATGTTATACACAGCTTATAGTCTCATATACTGTAATACAGGTTAACGTCAGCTTTTTTTGAAAGCTTGTTCACTAGCATGTGATTGACCTTAACTTACAATAATTTGTAAAAACATTGATATAGTGTAAGTATTCATACACTTTCATGTTTTAAACAATAGTATATAATCATGTATTTTATATACCGGTAAATTGTATTTATAATTTATAAGTGAATTTTATTAAAAATAAATTAATAAATTCCAAGTTTATAACTATTTTCCTAAATATAGTCAAATAGTAAATAAATCTCGAAATTGATCGCAACCAATAATATAGACATTACCGTATTAAATCATATTATTATTATTTTATTTATATTATAAATAATCAACTCTAATAAATTATAATCATTGATTTATTTTAAGCAAAATATTTTATATTTTAAATTATTACTTATATCCATTAATATCTTTGTTATAATTATTAAATACAGTATTAATTAAAATAAGGTATCAATTAATATACAGTAAAAACAAATACAGTATATAGTCAATGAAAAACAAACTTACATAAAATAATGTGATTATGAAAATATACTATTAAATCAGTTTATGATTCAGTAATTATAATGTAAACTCATAACAAATCATAAACCAGTTTTGAAAAAAATGATTTGAAATTCAAAAATTAATTAAATTGTTTAAATTATTTACTTAATTATCGTTATTCTTAAAACGTTTGCCATTATTTGAATCTCTTGATCCTTGATATCCTCTCTTTTTGTTTCCTAACAATCAAAATAAAGTTAATTATTTGAATAAAACATTCAATCAAATGACAAATCAATCAAATAATGACATACTTTGCCAAATATTCTTTCCTTTCTTTCCCTTAAAATTAGTCTTCTTTTGATTACTTAACGCTCTATTCTTCTCAAATTCAGTCCAATAATTGACTTCATCGTCACCGGTAAGGAGTTCAGCGACAACAGCAGTACCACAGATCTCAACTTTTGTCACATCAGAGGATTCATCAGAATCAGTAATCTTTGCCTTTTCTAAAGCTATTTTTGCGCCATTTTCTTCATCAAAACGGATTAAACTCTGTATAGAAAATTTAGATAAAATTTTATAATAAAAATAAAAGAAATATCAATAAATGTCAAACAATGCTAAAACAAACCTCTTTATCTTCATTGATATCCTCAACGTACGCCACTTTTCCATACTTTTGAAACAATCCTTTAATGTCTTGAAATTTGGTATTTTCGTTGAGTCCCTTAAGTTTGAGAACAGCCGCCGAATATTTCACTCTATTTGTCACGACTTTAGGTTTATTATCATCGTTTGTCTCATCAGTTTTCGTCTCTTTTTTGGCCAATTTGTTGTTTTTCCGTTCAACGAACTCTTTCTTTCGCTGCAAATATTTAATTCTGATATATATTTAAAAAAAAATAATTATTTTTAAATCAAAATTAATTAATTTATTGTAATTACTTGTTTTCCTTCAGAAGAGTTTTGTCTCCATATTTAACCTCTTCTGCTGATAATATCTTCTCTGCATCTTCTTTGGTCGAAAAGATGACTAAAATACAGCCCTTTTTTCAATATAACAAAACATATCATTACAAATGTTACCAATACTTCAATGTCTTCAATAATCAGAGCTAACCTTAAAATTTCTTGATTTGAAATGCCGTCTCATTTCAATATTTTCGACAAAACCATATTTTCTACAGAAATCCATTATATCATCCAATTGGCTATCCGTTGGAAAGCCTTTCAAATGAAGTGTCCGTTCATTCAGTTCTTCAATATATTGTTCATTGAATTCAGGCAAAGGTTTGTCGAGACTTCGTCTCAATTTAGTCTCGCAATCACTGATTTGCAGCAAATTTGTCGAAGACTTTCTCAGCGATTGAATAATCACTTTGACGTCTTCAGTCAACGACTTAAGACGTTTAAAAGTCAACAAAATCTCAAACGAAACCCCTATTGAATTCAAGACATCAATAATAATTTGGACACAAAACTATCGGATCATTACTTACATCCGTCGTCTTTGTTCAACAAATCTTTCATAAACTTGTCTTTACTGAGGTTTATGTCGGAAAAGTAATACTATTATAAATTATAAAGATATAGATAATCACAATTAGATGCAAATTGTGGTCAATATTGTGGTCAATATTGTAACCGAAAAATACCTCAATTTGTTGAATAATTTTTGTCTCCAATTCATTGGTCACATTGGGTTTGACATCTTCTTCTGAACTCATTTTTGTTTGTCAACTGATACAACAAATTAAATAAATTAGTGATAACTGTAATGTGGATCTGTTTTGGTGATAATTTTGTGGTCAAATAGTTATGTGATTTGCAAACACATGTGTTTATGTGTTGTCTTTAAATGCAATGCTTTTCTCCAATGCGTTTGCAAAGCGTTTTAAATGTCTATTCAATATCAATAACGTCTGCATTCAAGTGATTGACATTTTTGTGTCAAATATTTGTTACTTTACCTAAACTTTATAAAAATTTATACAACAATTTAATTTAATATTTATTACAATTACTTTATAAAATAAATATGATATTCAATATATGATTTTATTACTATAAAAAATAATAATCATTGTTTGTATAAATATTAAGTATTAGTTGTTAACTATTTGTTAAATTTATATAAATTAATATACAATTTAAAAATATATGGCAATATTGTCGATACAATTATTGAATGATTCAAACAATATATTTTGTGATCAACACATTAAACAACATTTGTTATAATAATTCAACAATTTTCGCAAATTTCACACTAATATATAAATTTGTTCAATAGATTCTTCACTAAATATAATGTCAATAATGTTGTTATACAGTAGTTATATGTTGTAATTGAGATGAATTCATGTCAAATGAAATCGAAAACATTTTTTTGTTTTTATTTTTGATAGTCTTTTGTTAAGTATTTTCTTCGATTTCTTTAATTCTCAATTTAATCCAAGTCTTAATCGATAAAAACTTTTTCTTAATTTTGTTGATCTCTCGTATCTCTTCCTCTTCAAACTTCTTGAGAAACATTTGTAATTCAGCATTCGTTAGACACAAATACTGGGCTACCTATGAATGCAAACAAATCAATTGAATTACAGTATCGGTAATAATAATAATAAACAATATATTATTGATTATCAAATAACAGACAACGACAACATACCTCACTTGATATTTCGTTTTTATTTTTGTTGAATATGAATACTTTAGCCGCCGATTCATTTGGTCCTAACATTACTCTAACAATTAGTGGAAATTCATTGTCATGCAGTCGACGACATTCTTTAAAGTTTATTAAAAATTTAATTAATTTCCAAACTATTTGTTTTTTTTTGTGTAATACAAACCTCCATTATCTCTGAGAACAAACAAAGAAAAATCTTCGGCTTTATTGGTAACTTTAAACTTATCCAATAACATATTGATAACTTCGGGTGCGTTTAGAAGACTAGATATAAAAACACTGGTAATTGATCCGTGGGCGGGAGTAAAATGGCTTGTCTATGGAGTTGTTTATATAACAGTTAATACACACATATTATATTACCGTAAAAGATATTTCTCAGTGATTACCTCTCTATTATAGAAATGTCCATTTATAGAGCACCGTCGTCTCAATCTGGCCCGAGATCTTCTCAAATTACAGGTTCTTCTCAGAACTACTTCATCATTTGTATTTGTCGTCTCTAAGTCTTTAGCAGAATTTTGTTTATCTTTTGCGTCAAATATTTGTTGAACATATTCGTCGTCAAAACTTTTACTGGTTCTTCGCAACTCTTCTTTCAACATTTTGGCACTTTCTGAACCCCGAAGAGGAAGTGTTCGATATTGTCGAACAGTATGATCAGGACTGTCAACACTGGATGAACAATCACTTGTAGGACTCGACTGTTTACTCGACTCTGGACTCGTTGATGTCGATGAAACACTAGGGCTGTCGTCTAAAGAGCTTTTGGCAGAACTTTTTCGAGTATTATAATAACTTTGTCTTCTAATGAATACTCTGTCGTCATTGTCTTCTTTTAGTTGTATAACATTGGATACATCCCAATATATCCTAACAGATCCCTCTAATATAAGTTTACCATTTCTTTCCCGATACTGAATGTTATTTCCTTTTCCATCAAAATATTGATTATATTCTTTAACTTTATTTTCTAAAAACTTTTCAGACATCGGATCACTATCTAAACGACTCTTTTGACCAAAACTTGAATGCGATTCAACACGAGAGCCGTGACCTGAATTGGATTGACGTAAGAAGTATGACATGAATGACATAATTGTTGAAAAATATGGTTTTTAATGACAAACCATAGAGTTGTGGACCGAAGAGAGCGCCATAACAGGGAATATAACAGTAAGGTATGCTTTTGTGCTAAACAAATGATAAATTTATAAATTATAATAAATAAAACCCAATTGGGATGACTGACCTCCGCGTGTTGTCCCGGATTCAGGCGTTTACCGCACTCGTGACACGTCAGACACTCCGGATGCCAGTCATAGCCTAACGAGCACTTCCTCTCAGCTTTTAATATATTAATATAAAAACATATTTGAAATAACATTATATTATTTATATTGAATTAAGTGTTGTATTTGATTGGGTTTTCAATCAAATCAAAAGCCATGATCTCCTGATAATCGCACCAAATGTCTGTCCAATACATACCAAAATAGACTGGTTTTTGACATTTACGGCACTTCCACATCACGGTGTTGTCCTCCTCTGACTGGTCACCACTAGTGGCCGATTTCCCGGTGCCTAACCTTTTGACAACAATTTGCAGAAGTAATGAACACAAGAATTGAAGACTTAGTGATAAACCAATTAAACTAATGATTGGAAGTATTAGTAAAGCCTTTAATCTCATTATTATTAGGCATTCATTGCATTCAATACATCACTCTATCAGTGATTGTCTATTCAAACACTAATCAAACAATACTTTACTTTAATTGACAGTTAAATCAATTGATTTTTATCGTTAAAATTTTTCACAATTATTAAATCAATTACTAATTATTATAACAAATGCTATAAACATCTGTTTATTTATTCAACTCTTCAAATAAAACAACAAAAAGTTTAAGTGAAATGTTTGAAATATAATACAAAATAATTGAATTATAATAATAATTTGTGTTTTTAAATGTGCTTTAAAATTATTAAGTAAATATTGATAATAAATATTAAGTTTATGTTAATTTTAAATCAATTTAAATATAAAAATAATAAAATATTTTTAAAGTTTTTTTTAAAAAATAATTAAATGTTTTTTTTAAAGATCTATGAAATAAACAAAATGTTTGAGTATTTTGTTGTTTGTGTTGAGTTTGTATTGCTTTACGTGAGATGTGGTGAGTGTTTGAAACAATTGACTGTTTATATGATTTGAATGCTTATTGTCTTCAAACACACAAAACATTTACTGTTGAAAGTTGTTGTCGAAAATCTGTGTATTTTTAGTGACAATTTGGGTGATAATCAGTTTGGGTTTTCATAGATAATGCAATTAACAAGAGTTAACTATTGGAACAAATGGATGCGAAACGGCCGAAGACCAGCCCGACCTGTGACCAGATTTAAAGCCGACAAACCATTAGTCTTAAGAAACGAAGTGACCTCAGGAACCAAACTTAGCTCCGGTTTGTAGTCTGATTTGATTTGATGTGTAATCTGACATCAGATGATAACACACCGTTGATGTCATTATAATGTTGTTTTGCGTGACATTATAGACGTGGTGTGTATACAGCAGATGATGGATATGTTGAGCTGTTTTAAGGACAACGAGTTCGACCAAATCAGATGCGAACCACAGATCAATGCCTTTCAAAATTGTTACAACAAATTTGTGGTCTGTTTTTGGCATATCTTGATATAATGTTAATGTTTTTGCAAATTGTTGCCAAATATTTGATATTAATTATTATTTGAATGATTAGGACGAGAGAAAACTGAAGAATGATTTGGTGAACTCCTCGGTTCCCATTCCCGGTGAGACAAAGCTTAAGAAAGACCAGTTAAATGTCTTATTGAAGCGATGGCCACAACCCAATTGAGTCACAATTTAGTCATATTTCTTAAGACAGTAATAATGTATTTCAAAAAATATATTTAGAAAATAATTATAATTGTAATTAACTTTAATTAATAGCATTTATTGAACTAAAAACAAATCAACACTAAATAGTAAATGTTTTTATATAATAGTTAATAATAATAATATTATTATTAATATTTTTGAATTATTTTATTTCATTTAAATATAATTTCATTAAACAAACGACTATTTTGGAGACCAAAATTGTCAGTTGATTTGAAGTGACCATCAAAATCATTGATAATATATCGACGTTTTTGCTAATTATTGATTTAGTTTTATCGGGCGTGAGATTTACAGTAAGGACGACCTCCTTTGGCGTAAAAGCTCTGTCCCTCTAAGTTCTTGTGGCAAATGGTACACATAAAACAATTGGAGTGATAGTTCTGGTTCAGTGCCTCAACCCATCGGTCGCCGGCTTCGATGGCAAACCCACAGCTGACACACTTAGTGGTGAAGAGTTCATTCCAGTCTTTCTCACAATAGGGCAAACCTTCCTCTAAGTAGAAGCAACTGTTGCCAAACGGACGCTTACAATAGGCGCAACTGAAGCACTCCGGGTGCCACTGCTTTTCCAATGCATTCAGACAGTCCTAGACATTGATTTACTTTGTTAGCAAAATTGTGTCCAAATTTATTGATTAATTAATACCTCTTTAATTCTTTGTCCACATTTGGAGCAAATGGGTGCCAGATATGCCTCATAGCAGTTCTCGCAGTAAAGCTTTCCCTGTTCTTCAACAAAACCAATGTCTTCAAGGGATCGATTGCATCGAGCATTAGCACAGGTGAAGTGGTGCGGACACCAAGCCTTGTTGAGGGCAACTATAAAGGGACCGCTGATTGTATTGAATAGTTAGTCAAATAATTAATGTTTGAAACATTTTTACGGCTACCGAATGGGTGATCCACATGTGCCACATATGGGAATACTGGTTCCAGTAATGGCTGATTTTAATAGACCTCTTCCACGTCTGGGTGCTGGTCGTGACCCGGGTATAGTTGACTGTCCCGGACCAGGAATTATAGACGACGCGTATGTCGACCCTGATGTCCAATTTTGAGCATTAAATTGTGGTTTAGGTGCAGCAGTCGGCGGTGCTTTGGTTTGCTGTGTAGTTGAGTGCTGTGTAAAGCTAGTGGCGTAAGTAGCTATAGAGGGGGTGCCGTTTGGGGGAAAAGACGTAAAATTTGAAGCTCTTTGACGGTCGTCCGATAAGGAGGTATAGAGTGGTTGTGCAGAGTATTGGGATGAAGAGGAATAATCCCCCATTGATTTTGGTCTTTCTCTACGAACTGGATTTTCCCTCAAAGGTGGGCCTAAATTATCAGTTGTGTTATATCTATAGGAATGGGAGGGATTACTATCACCTGATGGATCAAATGATTGTGTAGGTGGAGGCCATTGGAATTTGGGACGACCTGACAGGGGATCGATGTAAATATGCGGACATAGTGTCAGATTAATGTAATGGTGGACACATATATCAAGTAACAGATAAAGAGTGCAGTTATTATTGAAAGTATTATTACATTAATTTACACATTGAAGACATACCTGTAAAGGGACGGTAAGAATCACTCGCAGTATTGTTTTGATGGCCGTATGAATTGCCATAAAATGGTACTGAATTATACTATAATAATATATCATAACAAGAATTTGTTAATAATAATTAAAACAATACTAATTGTTTTTGTAAAATTATTATTATATTTGAAGATAAAAATTTAAAGATAAAGTTATTTCTAAAAAATTTAAGTACCACTGGCTTTGGAGTCGCAGAGGGAATAACTTTGCTGTATTGAGAACTCGAGGAAGAGTTCAATTGATGCATTCCTTCAGTACTCTGATAGATGGGTTTAAAAGTGAGAGAAAGAAAGAAAGAGAGAGAAAATTTTAAATTGTAATATAAATATAAATATTAATTTACAATTAATTGGTTATTTCTAGTTATCATTCATCATATGTTAAACATAATATACAGTTTTTGTTTGATTTAATTTGATTTAAAAGTTTAGAATTACATTAGAATAATATTATTAGTAAAAGCTCATAAAACAGTATACATTATTTAAGTTTAATATAATTATTTTTAAAAATTAATAAGAATTATATTATATAAATATACGGATACATACTTGATAAGGCACGGCACCAATATTTGAGGGCTGACTCTGGGTTTGACTCTGTGGTTGACTGTATGGTTGACTCTGCGGTTGACTGTATGGTTGACTTTGCGGTTGACTGTATGGTTGACTCTGCGGTTGACTCTGCGGTTGACTATATTGTTGGCTAATCGTTGCTTTTGCTAAATTGGCGCTTAAAGTATTAATTCTTTAAGTGGCGGACAAACATAACACAAATGATTGTCAATATATTTTATTGTAAATTTATCTGATATAACGTACTGATTGTTTACAGGAACGGGAGAAATACCACCGTTTGGTTTCATAAGTGATGCCATTTGTTTTGCGTGAATATCGCAATAAAGTTTATCATTGATTGAATAGTATCCAACATTTTTCAATGATGTCCCACAAGTGGCACATCTGAAGCATTCGGCATGAAGTGACTTGTCTTTGATCCTAACAAATACACCCCTATATTCACCAATAATTAAATTATTAATTTTATAAATATATAAAAGTGAAGTAAAATGAAAATTATCAATTGGTTTAAATTTCTATATATATATATATATATATATATACTTTATATACTGTAATTAAAAGATACCGACACAATAAGGCGTTCACATTCAGCACATATATTTTGATTGGCCTTTTCTTGTCTTTCCGATGCCGGCCTGTCTACCGGTGCTTCAACGTGTCGGGTCATAGTATGTGACTGATTTGTATTTCTTATATCCGGTGAAACTGACGGCTCTCCTATAAATGTATTAATAAATTGATAAGATTTACAAATTTTATTTGTCATTTTACTGTTTATTGAATATTGATTTGAATTGAATTTGAATAGAAATTGAATAGAATTAGAAATTTTATATTTATAGTAATTTAATATATTATAGGATATTTATCATTTACTAATATCATTCAATATTTTTTTTTTAAATTTAATAAATAATCATTTTATCTATTTTTATATAATATTTAAATAAATTTGAAAAATACTATATTTGTAAAACAGCGAAACATTTGTTGTTCACATAAATCACAACAGAATTAGTATTTCATATATTAATTAAGTGTTGAAACTATTATTTATTTTGTCTTTTTCAGTGATATAAAACAGAGATAAAATAGATTTAAATTTTATTTTTTAACTATTCAACTTTATTTTATTTTGTTTTAAAAAATTATAAAAAGTTTAAACTAATTTTCTTATATATTAATATATTATAAATTAATAAATTAATAGTTCTTTAATTTAATACTTATTAATAATATAGTTTTACTATACTATAAATTTACTATAAAGTATTGATTTTAAAACAATATTTTTTAAAAATAATAAAAATAAAAGACAAATTTATAATTTTTGTTTGTTATATAGTTTGCTATTATAAAAAAGTTATTAGTATTTTAACTTAATGTATTTGTTTGTTTATAAATTTATTTTCCTATTAATAGTGTATTAAGTGACAATACTTTATTTATGAAAATTATTATTGTAATGTTTTTTGAATGATATTATCATAATTTTAAAAAACTATAAAATAAAAGTAAAAGTTGAATGACATTATTATAAACAAATTTTATGATATAAAATTATATTAAAATAATATATATATATAATTTTGACACATAATAAAGTAGTAACAAATTTATAAGTGATCTACAAATTAATACTAATGCAAACAAATGGAAATTCGCCAAATGATGGCATAAATTAATGTCATTTTAATAAAAATATAAACACATTTAAAATATTATAGGCTTTATGTTTAATTTGAATATAAATGCGTGTATTGTTTATATTGTAATAGTATTATATAACTGAATTAATGTCTACCAGGTTATCATATAAAAATAAAATTGTATGAATCCTATTATTGCATAAACAAAATCTCTAAACATTTTTTTGCAGATAAAGTGTTAAAATAAAATATTAGCCTCATTAACGACGATTCACTAAAAAAATAAATTAACAAAATTGCAAATCTATTTCACAAATGATATCACAATTAAGTTCTGTAACCCTTTAGTTATCTATAATTGCATTTTGTCAACAAATTTGTTATTTTTTTTTGTCTTTAAAACCGCACAGAAATTTCAAATTGAAAGTAGTTTTGCATTTTTTTTTATTTCAATAAGCGTTCAGTCATTTAATTTTGTGATTTATTTATCTCTAAAGCCTAGAGTTTTTTAACTCATTGTTCATCAATTTGAAAATATATTTATATCTTTACTGTAAATATCTTATACGAGCTATGATTGAAAAGCATATTTCAAAATATAATTGATTGACTGTTTATATATGACATACCCTTAGCTTTTCTTATTTCTTCGTCGTGAACCATCTGATATACAGCAGACTCCTTGTTGATGGGGGCGTCGGGTCTCATGAAGTTTATACTATAAAACATATTTATTTGAAATGTTTGTGTAAACCAAATGACAATATATTATATAAACAGTTATTAATACAAACCCTTTGGCACCTGAAGTCAGTACTTCAGTATGAGCTTCAAGAGTTTCGGCGATGTTTTTCTCTGAGTATAGATTGACGGGTGAGTTGTACTGCTTGTGTACTAATGACGGGATCGTCGCTCCGGTAAATGGTTTTGCATTTACATTGTGTTCACTTCCGATATGCTGTGAAGTCTTGTGAATTAAATGTAAAGATTTATTATATTATGAAAAATATTTGAATAAAATCAATTGTCAGATGTAATCAAACCTGTTGTGGCTTTTGTAATGATGTCTTTGTATATGTGGTCTGTCCGGGATTCATATTACCGACGGGTGTCACTTGCGGTTTCCATATGTTTATATCTCCTCTAAAATTATGATTATATGTTATTTTATAATAATTTATTTATGATATATGGTCTAACCGTTGGATAGTAAGCTCGAGATAGTTCCCCGCATTATATATGGCTTCCTGAGCCTCTTTATGTCTTATATCTTCAGCATTTGTACCACTAATCTTAATAATGATATCTCCAATTTGTAGACCTGCCTGAGCCGCCAAACTATTTGGATTTACCTGATTTGAATAATATAATAAAATAATTTAATTTATTATAAATAATATCAATATTATTGCTCTAATAATTTATTAAAATAAACTATTGTGAAGTTTTTGCCAACATTTGATTTAGGAGTTGAGTTGTACTCCAAAAAGAGATTATCAATTTAAGTATTAAAGAGGTTATTGTATGTTTGAAAAGTTTTACTCAATAAACTCAAACTTCCTTAAAATATAGTTTTGTAAAAAAGATAATAAAGTCTATCTAAGAGATGATGCGATTGGAAATCAACAGAAAAATTTGAGAAGACTTTTCCTAACATTTTATGTATGATTTCACATAATAAAGTAAAATGCAGTATTTGTTATACTTGTATGTATAGCACCAGTAGTCAAGAGGGTGTGCTCTGGGATGCCAAAGATGGTAACAGGACTCAACACATATTATAATGTTTGCCAAATGATTGCTATTCAAACATATACTCAACAGTTATATTAAACACTGTTTTTAGATTCAAAAGCTAATAGTGCTTACTATAGCAGAATCTATTAAAGCAAAAACAACACACAATATATTTCGTTTACAAAACTTTTAATTTTGGTGTATATATAAAAAATTGCATTACTTTTACATTTGAAAAATCATTTAAACGCACATTTGGTTTCATAAGTTGAACAGTTGCTTAATATGAAGAATGCATTTTTATTTGTTTGTTTTACACTTTTAGTTGAAAAATAGCTATAATATTGTAGTTTTTATCTTAATTTTTACTATAATTATTCACATTTAATTTGTTAATACATTAAAATATTTTTGTAAATAACACGTTTTATTTTATTTCATACATTTTTATGGGGTGGGAGAGAGCAATACTGTGTTGACTTTTAAAATTTAGTCTACATTTTTTTGACAGTATGTTTTGACTATTTTTTTATTATTATTATTAAAACTAATATTATTATTATCCTTAAAAATAATCATTTAAGCAAAAATAAACTTTTTTTATTTTATATATTTTTTGTTGTTGTTGTTGAGAAATTTGAATAATATAGTATTAAATGACAATTAGTAGTATATGTTAAATAAAATTATTAACATTTTTAATCTCATATGACATTCAATTTTAAGTTCATTTAATAATAAGTGCCAAATATTAAGGCATGACTTTACAACACTCCGTAAAACATAATAAATAAATTTTATACAAAATTCGTGGGTTTTTTAATCAAACATAATATACAACTTTTTTAACACAAAATTTTTTGTTGCTCTCAGTAACAAAATTTTGATATTTATTACACTAAAGTACAGGTGTTTCGCATATTTGCCATATTTTATCTAATTTTACATAAAATCATTTGTTTTTAATTCAAAATAGTTGTGCTTAAAATGTTTATTTGCTTAAACTAGCAGATCACTGTTATTTATTAAAATGTTAATAATTAATAAAATTAATAATAATTATGTTAAACTAATTTGGTTTTAAATTTAATTTCTAATAAATTTTTTTGTTGTATCATGATTTACAATGTTTTAGAACAGTTATATACTGTATATATATATACAATACTGAATAACATTTTTATAGAGAATCTAAAAATATGCAATCTATTGTTTATGCTAATAATAAATGCTTACATCATATTAGATCAAAACAAAAACTTTGATTTTAGATATAACTATCAAATTTCATTTATATAAAATTCAAATTTAAAAAATATATTATATATTAAGATCTAATATATTATTAATTGATATTTTTAAAAATATTAAAAAAATAAAGTGTGCAAACCTTGACCACAGACAGTGGTAACGCATAATCCTTTCCTCCCTGAAGTCGGAATCCCCAGGAAGTGGAGTCTCCTCTCATGAGTTTCAAATTGATATGCTGTCCGCTCGACATGTTTTCCAAATCAAAATTTTTGATTTTCAATTTCTTTATATATTATAAAATTGGTTTTTTACTATAACTTATAAAAATTCTTTAAATAAATTTTGTTATCAACTTTTGATATCTGAAAAATACTTTTGAAGCCAATCGCTTGTTAACAACACACAGGGCCTCAAACTCTTCAACAAAAGTTTAAGCGTATGGTTTAAAAGCCGATTGTGAGTCGTGTGCACCACAACTGTATAGTCGGTGCCCGGAATAGACAGATCGTTAAGAGCATGTATTTCAATGATAAACGTCATCACAAACTATTTGTTGCGTTGACTCTGTTTTCAAATGATAAGTAAATTTAATATATAATAGGAATTTGTCGATTCAAATGTTTTCTATTTGTTTGTCTATTTTTTCTATTATATATAGATTTCTTACATTTATTGTTTAATTAATTCTTTTATAAAGTAGATAACAAGTGCCCCAATAATCCAATTTTTTAGATAATTTGACACACATTTTCTTAAAATTATTTGAATATTCTTTAAAATTAATTATTATCTAATTTCATGGCTAATGTTGGCAAATGTAAAATAGTTGAGAAAACTTTTTTCAAGGCTTTTTTATATATGAAATGCTTAAAATTGATGAAATCATATAAAAGTTATTAAAAGTTATTAGCTATTTATTAAACAAGTGTGTCCACACAATTTATAAACAGTAAATTATTTATAAATTGATATTTTGATTTTATTATAATTCTGGTAAAATAGTAATGTCTAAATTAAATAACTTGCATTTTATTAACAAATTAAATCGTAAATTATTTTCATTATTAACTAAAATAAAATTAAAAGATTAGGTCAATGAATGAAAACAATTTAAAAATAGTATTAAAAAATAATTAAACGGAATTTACTAAAAAACCAACTTATGTTTGAATATTAATCAACTCTTTGCCAACTTTCAGATAATATATTTTGAAAGTGTAATGTTATTATATATTATTTGTAAAAATATTATATTGTATTTAAATGAGATTTAATTTTTAATTTCAATTAACTATCTAAAGACTAATAGAAATGTTTACTAAATTTATTTTAACAGAATAAGCATTATTTTATTTTTTTCTGTGTTAAAGACATTAAACTAATGAATTTTTTTAATGAAATGGTTATAATTTATGAAAGAAAGGCATTTCGCCAAACACTCCATCAAACTATTTGCCTATACTTTGGTTTAGTATTGTTTAGTTATAAAACAAGACATACATTCAGTATTTTTCATTCAAATTTAACTAATAATGAGGTTTTAAAGTAAATATAAATATTTATGTTTTAACAGCAATTTTTATACTAAAATAATACTAATCTAAACTAATAGGAATAAAATCTTTATACTATCAATACTTTAGTTTATGATATTTATATTAATACTTACTATACAAATCCATAGACTATTTATGCTATTTTTTGTCGTTTTATAAATTATTATATAATATATTATTTTGTTTAAATAGACTAATTCAAAATTTATAGTTTTTATAACTTTGATACTAATAAATCACATTAATTTCAAGTCGTTTTAAATTTTTATCCATTTGTTTATTCAAATTATAAATACAGTATTTTAAATCATTATTATATATTACAGTGTTAATACATACTGTATGTAAATTACCGATAATAATAGTATTAAAACTCAGTTAATCACATTATTATATTGTATGCTATTAAAATTATTATTATTATTATTATTGCATATGGTGTCAAATGTCATGAAGATTTTCAAATAACAAGTATTCAAAAATATAAATAAAAAACTAAAATAAATAAATAAAACTAAAATAAATAAAAACAAAAAATAATAATAAAATAAATGCAACAAAACTTTGTGTCTAACATATATCTACTAAAATCATTTAATTTTTCCCAAAACATAGTACAGTAGTCGCAAAAATACTAAATTAATTAATCGTTAGTATATATATATAATTTATATATAGATATAATATGTATTGAAAAAGTGCGTTCACATAATTGTAATTTTAAAATATTATTATTATTTTTTTTGTAGAGTCATTATATTAATTATTAATCATTATTTAATCATTTATTTAGTGTGTAAACTCTAAAGCGATATTATTTTCAATTATAAAATTGTTTGTTCATAAATATATGAGTTTCTTCATTAATAATTAAAATAACTAAAAATTTTCAAATTATTTAAAATTGATTGTCTTCTTAGTCGGTGTCGTAATGATAACTTTGATCGCCGTATTGATTGTTTGAATGGTAATAAATGGGTGGATAGAAGTCAGAGTCTTGCGATGATCGTCGAGAACCGGGCAGTGATTGTATTTTAACGACAGTACAACCGGCAGGAGTGGCGTTACCTTTAAAACAATAGTTTTAAAAATTGTAAGTCAAATGTTAACTCATTGATAAAAAAATATATTGCAATTACTCGGTGGCGGCCACGCAGTGCCTCTGACTCGTCTCGACGGTAAATAAGGTAATGGCGGCGGAGTTACTGAACCACTTCTCGGGTTCCATGTCTGCTGCAAACGACCCGGTGGTGGTGTTGATTGTCTCATGCGATTATCAATACCGTTGTCAACAGATCCTGCGCGCCATTCATAGCGCATTACTGGAGACTCTAGAAAAGTCAATTGAAAGAAGAGTTGATTATTTGTTAAATGAAAATTTCAATTAATTTTAATGACAACACAAACCTCGTCCACTCGTATCGAATCCAGTTTTAGATACATATTGTTGATTATGATCGAGTGGTGGCCAAACTGGTCTTATTTTTCGTGACGAAGAACCAGTTGGTGGCGGTCGCCAATTCTTTTCAGTCGGTGGTGTCTGCACTATATATGTCTGCTGTTTGCGTGCCTGTGATGGCAATAGTTGATTGACAGCTTCCTCAGGCTTACCGGTCACCATTTTAGGCAAAGGTGTCTTCCAATGTGGTTTAGACTCATCCCATGATCCCAATCGTTGTAGTCGTGGAACAGTATTGTTGGCGAATACTCTTTTATCTTTGACTTCACGACTATCTTCAGTACTTTGGGATCTATGAGTTTCTGGTTTATTAAATTCTGATCTCTGGTTCGGTCGTCCAAAAAACTGTTTTCCTTGTGTTTTAATAATCGACTTTTGATTTTTATTTTGCTGAACAGTAATTATATTCATTTGTCTCATATCATGAACGGGTGGCGGAGAGACGGGAGGCGGATGTGCTATAATTTTTGCTTCGTGTGTAGGACTTGGTGTTGCAGATGATGTCTGAGTGGGTTTTAATTCTCCATTTATAACATTACTACTATTTGGTGAACGATTTTTCTTTGATACACCAAAAACTCGCTTATCATTTAGTCCGGGAATAGTTGGCGAACATTGAACAGGACTTACAGATTGTGGTCGATATCCGGTAGCAAAAACTCGGGTATCTCTTGGCTGATTGAATCCCGTCGACCACTGTTGCTCTTCTGGCTTGTAATAGCTGATTATGGTTGGAGACATGACTGGAGAGTATGGGTGTCCACTCGATGGTGATTTTGATTGACTCGGAGAAGAACTATATTCTCTACATTCAAACACTTTTTGATAGTTTTAATAAATAATTTTGTTATTTATCTTTTTATAACATCGATAATAACACTCACTTTCTCTTTCGGTGACATAAAACGGTTGCATTGGAGGCGATGAAGGATTGTTATAAACCATATAATTTGTCTTATAGTGATTGTCGTCTTTTAATTGATTTAACATTTTATCGGTTAAACATTTGGTACCAGAAGTGATAACATTAGGACCAGTATTGGTGTAGACTATATGCTTAACTTCTGTCTGTTTCAACAAAATTGGATTTTCATTTTCCAATTCTTCGGGTTCTTTAGTTCTTTAAATTTAAATACAACTTTAACTTTAATTTTTGCTAAAATAATTTATTGAAATACAAATCTACTATAATCTTCAACAAGATTTTTTTGAATAAGTATTGACATTTAAAATCAATAATTTGTCAAATTTATAGGTGTGTTAAGCCTTATTTACAGAGCTGTAAATAGACATCCCTGACATTATTCTGTTATTCACTGTAAATATTAGTTATTATTATTTAAAAAAAAAATAATAATATGTTTTCATAACAATCCAAAAATATTGCTATTTGTAAACACGCAAAAATTAGAAACATTAAAAACATTTAAAATTATTAATGGTTTAGTGTGGCTAATAATTTTTGTACATTTAAAATTTTTAAATTGATTATAATTATTTATAAGATTATATATTAAAAAAATATATTATTACGATAAAAATTATTTTAAACAAAGTGTTTTAAAGATTGAATAGATTGTATGGCAAAGAATTTAAGAAATTTGACGTAAACTGAGTGGGAGTTTGAGTGTTGTGGCTATAAATGAAAACATTACTAAAAATAAAAATTCTGTTTTTCTTACATCAGTTTTATTACAAATCTGATTGAATTCTTTAAAGGAGTAATAATTGATTTCATTTTAATGTCAAAATGTTTTTGAACCTAACAGAGGATCGTATTTCACAAACATCTCCTAAAAATAAATTGATTTCTTTATATCTATTATATTATTAATACACAATCGTATAAACTTAAATAATACAAATTACCAATTATCAAATAATATATATTTTGTTAATACAACTCATGGCTTATAATAACAAAAATATATTGTAATCACAAATATTTTAATAATTCTTATTTAAAGATAATACTGTATATGTTATTAATTTCTATAGTATTAGAAATATTGGTGTATAGTATAATTAACTTTAAAATTTAATATTAAAATTTAATATAATTGAAAAAATTAATTGCCAAATCATCACATAAACATATAAAATATAAACTATTTACAACTAATGTTTATTCAAATAAATCAGTCATTTGGCACAATTATCATAGATTTTTTTTTGTATCTATCAATCAATCACTTTTACTAACAAAAAATGATTTTCCAACAAAAATTTTAACATTTGTTTTTACTCATTAAAGAAATGCAATAAATATCAAATCAATGTTGTATTCGACAACATTTAAATGCATTAATTTTTATTTTAGATTCAATACTTATTTAAATAAAAATTGAAACTCAATTATTATGTAATATTTTCTTTGATTCAAATTTATAAATATTAAAAACAAATAATAAAGTTTTTATATTAGAATTAAAAATCTTATAAACTTAACTATTATTATTAATAATTAAAAAATTAATTTCAAATTTTGTTTGTATGACATAAAATCAATACCTGATGATAAAGAGATCAATAGTACTAATACATCGTATTATTATCTCCTGAACCTCTTCATGTGTTAACCTCTTAAGCGTAATATTGCCGATCCTTACCAATAGGTCCTCCTCTTGTAGACCGCATTTGTGCGCAATGCTATCAGGGATGACCTAATATAAAGTTTTTATAAACAATAATTTTTATTGTAAAATTCAAATTGGCTGTAATAGCAAAGTTAATTTATAATTTGTTGGATACATAAGCTTTACGACACAATTGACAGCACAACCGATGCTTTAAATAGATTTTTATAAACCGTTTTTTATTTCTTTTCTTTTTTTGAACTATTTTTTAGTTTAAAACTTACTTTAAAAGAAAAATAAATAAAATAACATTTGTTTCATTTTAGGTTTATTTATGCTTACTTTTACGAATTTTCATGTTAAATTTTACCATGCTTAATATGCAAATTTTAAAATCACAAATTATCTAATAATTTTTTTTATAAAACAATGTAAATATTTATTAAATATAGCAAAAAATAAATAATAGCATGTTTTATAATTAATATTTATAATACAACACTTTTAGCAAAATATATTTTCAAATATGATAATAAAATTAAAAAAATATACTTACTTTTTGCACCATAAATGGCTGTCCCTGATTGACACCTCCTGCCAGTCTGAACCCCCAGGGCTGAGACTGATTACTCCTTCTCAATGTTATTAATGTAGATTTACGAGAGACAGACATATTATAATTTCAAATTGAATTTTATCGATACAAATGAATGACAAGTTGTTTAATGATTTAGTAGTGATTTTATAGTTTGTATGACAATTATGTTTGCACTGAGAGTCTATCTCTCTCTCTCTCTCTCTCTCTCTCTCTCTCTCTCCTCTCACTTCACTTTTTTTGGACGATTCACGCCTTTGAGAGATATAGACTCCTCTCTCATCTCACGTCTCGTATAACTATATTGCTTTCAATTTGAGAAACAGTATATCGAAGACTCTCCGAGCAGTGGCTGAGGGATGCAAATGCATATATGAGCTAAAAAGAGATGACGAGTGTAACGGAGTAAATGCCAACAAATATAATTCATTTGTTGTGCTGTTTGTATGTACTGTATATATGCTATGATTTTAGTTTTTATGATTTCATTTAAAAGTTTATAACTTTTATCATTTAAATACAACTGTTATTTCTATTATATGCTTATATTTAGGCGAAAGTCCTTGTATTTCAAGTTTAAATTAAGACAATTTTGATTATAATCTTTTTCAAAAAATTTTATCTCAAATAAAATGTCTAACACTTATGAATATGTCAAACACATCACTCATATTATTAATTTATTAATATATATATAATTATATTAACACATATTAATATTATAGGTATAATTAATAAAAACATGATTTATAACAAAAATATTCAAATAAATTAATAAAATTAACTTTATTTATATATATAATCAATATATTTATAACTATTTTGTGAATATTTTAAAATAAAATCTTTTTTTAAAAAATTGTAATTACATTCCTGAATAAGCGGGTCCACCTCCACCTGTAAATAAAAAAAATAAGTGAAAACCGTTTGATTACCGGTAGACATAAGTTATGTGATAAATACCTTCAGGTGTGACCCAATTGATGTTCTGCGACGGATCTTTTATATCACATGTCTTGCAATGAATACAATTTTGAGCGTTGATTTGAAGTCGCATATCATCAGAGTTTTCATTAGTCACGTACTCGTAAACACCCGCCGGACAAAAACGTTGTTCTGGTCCGTCAAAGATCTTCAGATTACGTTCGACAGGAATGTCATCATTCATTAGTGTCAGATGTGGCGGTTGATCCGATTCGTGATTGGTTCCGGTCAACGCCACCGATGATAATAAATCAAAGGTTATTTTTCCGTCAGGTTTTGGATATTCAATAGGTTTGCAGTCTTTGGCTGGTTTTAGTTTTGTGTAATCGGGTCCGCCGTGTTTCAATGTCCACGGCTCGTAACCTCTTAAGCCAACATAGAAAAGACCGGTGTAAGCGATTCCTCCATAGAGTCCAAGTTTAGTGTGAAACGAAGGCCTAACATTTCTTGCGGCTTTCAACTCTTTCCAAACCCAACTGTTTTTTAAATTGGTTTCATATTCTTTTGGTTCGTAACCAATCTGTAGTTTGTCTGCACTGAATGCTTCATAAATGGTATCGGAGGCAACCATTGCGCTTTTCATAGCGTTATGCGTTCCCTTGATTTTAGGCATATTTAAAAATCCCGGCTCATCCCCAACAAGACAGCCGCCCGGAAAAGTTAACTTTGGTATTGACTGCAATCCTCCTTCATTTAAAGCACGGGCTCCGTATGCAATACGCTTTGAATTTGGAGATTCAAAATACGGTCTAACAGTCGGATGAAGTTTAAAGCGCTGAAATTCTTTAAATGGATTTAAATATGGATTACTGTAATCGAGACCAATGACGAAACCAACGGCTATCTGAGGTATGTCTTCATTTAAATGATACAGAAATGAACCGCCATATGTATCCTTATCCAGAGGCCAACCAACGGTGTGCTCAACTCTACCCGGTTTGTGTAATGATTTATCAATTTCCCAAATTTCCTTTAATCCAATGCCATAAGATTGTGGTTCACAGTTAGCTCTGAGATCAAACTTTTTCATCAGTTGTTTGCCAAGACTTCCGTGACACCCCTCAGCAAAAACAGTACATTTGGCCCTTAATTCCATTCCTCTTTCAAATGAGGATTTGGGTGCACCATCTTTACTAATACCGACATCATTAGTGGCAATTCCGCAAACATTTCCATTTTGATCGTAAAGTATCTCAGACGCAGCAATTCCCGGATATATATCAACACCCAATTCTTCGGCCTGAGTGCCCAACCATTCGACTACATTTCCCAACCGCACCACATAATTGCCGTGATTATAGATTGGCATTCCTTTAAAAACCGGCAATTTTATCGAACCCGTAGGAGTTAAGTATCGAAAAACATCGTCAGTGACCGGTGTGTCCAAAGGCGCTGACTTGTCCTTCCAGTCGGGGATTAGTTCGTCGATAGCTTTCGGTTCAATACAAGCGCCCGAAAGAGTATGTAAACCAATTTGTGCCGCTTTTTCCACTAAAGTCACTCTCAATTCTTTATTATCTTTGTTCGCCAATTGCTTCAGTCGAATAGCAGCCGAAAGACCCGCCGGTCCGCCTCCGACCACAACGATCTGTCAATAAATATATTCAAATTAATTAATGACATAAAAGAAGAAATTATTGATTAAACATTACATCGGTTTCATCGACAACTCTCTCCATATTAATGTCTTTCCAGCGGTTGTCAGTATTTCGCGGAACTACTGAATAATGAGTTGTTATCTTAGCTTTTGATGAGAGACAACGTCGTTGAATTGAAACCACTTTTGTGTCCAAATGTTTGCAACAGACAATTGTCTGCCATTTGGTTAACACATTCATTTGTTTAAACATCTTCAGCGCCAATTGATTGCGTTTTTTAGACACAAATAAGTGATAAAAAAAACTAAGTCATCACTTGTTTGACCATTCAATACATGATGTATGCCATCGATGGCAATGCAATCACTAATTCATTTGCAAAGTGTTTATCACTAAAAATAAATCAAATATTGTTAACAATTTTGTACTTTAACTGAGAGTACAAATTGAGTACAAATTGAGTACAAAACTGGTCTCAAATCAATCAAACAGTTATTTACATCCAAATTGAATGTCACGTCAGTATTGAATACAGTATTCAATACTTAATGACAACAACTAATTGATTGTAAAAATAATAAATTATTTATTTTTTAAATTTTTTGTCATTAATAAAGTGATGACATATTAATCAGGTATTAGCGATAATCACATTGAAATCAATACATTAATCCTATAAATCAAATGAATGTCAATAAACCAAATCTAAAACAATATTTAAAAGTCAATCAAAAAACTGATCCAAACTTTAATCCAAAACTAAAGCCAAAAATCCAATAGATTTCGCACTTCTGTTCCCATCTGTAGACGTATGTCATTCTCGTTCATCAATAACGTCGACAAATGTTTTACATTTAAGTCCCACTCTATTAGTTTGTATTAACTTTCTGTTGACAATTGCAAACATAATTGATGTTTGACTGAAACAAATAGCAATAAAATATTTGTTTTTGTCCTTCACTTCAATGGTTTTGAATGAAAGCAAAATTTAGTCAAAAAAATGGCGAATATTTTGGTTTAAAACTAAAAAATTCAATCAATTTGTGTCTTAAAAAAAGTATTGTTTTGTTGACAATAAATACAATAATTGTGTGGACTTTGGTTCCCAACTATAGTCTTAGCCATTGTTGATATAAGTGACACATTGTCTCAACAGTTTTGGTGTCTAATGTCTTGATTGTGAATCAGTCGTCAACTGTCGACAGAAAACAATGGGTTTGTTATTGTATTTGCTTAAGACATATGTCCAACAAATTTAATGATTGTCTTTTGATTACCAGCTTTGGTGTGTCAATGTGTTGGTCACTGTCCCGGCAATGTCCCGAACGGCACGTGTCTTATTAAGACAAATGGCATGTGTTTTGCAGCCGTCGAACAGGTCTGGAACAGAGAGACGGATCAGCTCGAGTTGGAAAAGACAATGGGATGTCTGGCTCCCGATGACGCTCACATCCTTCAGGTTTGTTATATGACCTGTTCTGTTGTCGACAGTTTAATAATGTTTGGATCAATTATGGTGACAGTGTAAAGGTCATTTAGTGCCACATCACGTGCCAAAAACGATTGAGTGTTGTAATACACATGACTTATGTAATCTTGAATTACATCCGAGTTATTTCAATATACCCACCAATCAATACGGTATTATTTAGGATCTGTTTGTCACCATTTGTTGTCTAAATATTTGTTTATTTGTTAAAACAGAAGAAAACAGTCATTTTCCTATGAATTCATCGCATCTATTGGTAGCTCTCATCACATCATTAATTGTATTCATTGTTTTATTCGTCATTTTATACATCGTTTATAAACGATATAAAATGTATGAAACAAATAAAGAAATGTTTTATTTACCGCTAATTTTTAAACTTATAATTATTGCTATTTTTTATTTTTAAAAATTAGATATTTAAAGAAATCGCAAAACGAGAGTCTGTACGTCGAGAAGAATATTCCGCTCAAATTAGACAATTCAGACAAAGAAAAAATCGATGTTACAGTCAGTTCTGGAGGTAGTGGTAGCTCTGTTAAGCCACTGCTGGCTAACAGTAAACGAATTATTGCAATAAAAGGCAAAGAATTAGATCTCTGGAAAAGCAGCCAAAAGGAATCGAGCAGTTATTATGATTACAAGAAATATAACAACGATTCCTCAACTATTGACAAGAGATTCATTGCCAGTGAAAGCTTATCAAGAGATTCATTTGAAAATTCAATGTCTTCGGGATCGGGTTCTGGACAACTAATTCTTATACAACGAACTTTAGCCAAACAGGTACAGCTGTATGAATGTATAGGAAGGGGTCGTTTTGGAGAGGTTTGGCGCGGCATTCGCTTCTCACAGAACATTGCCGTCAAGATATTCTTCAGCAGAGACGAGGCTTCTTGGAATAGAGAGACAGAAATCTATAGCACTGTTATTCTTCGACACGAAAATATATTAGGATTTTTGGGCTCTGATGTTACTTCATATAACTCGTGTACACAGTTATGGCTGATCACTGATTTCCATCAATTGGGTTCACTTTATGACTACTTAATTGAGACTCCACTTGATATCAAACAAATGCTATCAATTATACTGTCCATTGTCTCTGGTATTCTTCACTTACACACAGAAATATTTGGCGGCTTAGGAAAGCCTGCCATCGCTCACAGGGATATTAAGTCGAAGAATATATTAATGAAAAACACGTACACTTGTTGTATAGCCGACTTTGGGTTAGCTGTCATTCACACCCAAACCACCGGTAAATTAGACGTCGCAGAGAATCATAGGGTTGGAACTAAACGATATATGGCTCCCGAAGTACTAAACCAGACATTGAAAAGCGATATCTTTGAATCATATAAAATGGCTGACATGTGAGGAATAAATTATATTATATATACCGTAATTAGAATATATTTAATTATTTGTTTTAATTTAACTTCAATTTTATAACAGTTATTCATTAGCGCTAGTCTTATGGGAAGTGGTTTGTCGTACTCGAGTTGACGGCTGTTTTGACGACTATTGTGTTCCTTATTATAATTGTGTTCCAAACGACCCGAGCTTTGATGATATGAGAAAAATTGTATGCATTGATCAACAGAGACCTGAAATACCTGATAGATTCAAATCAAATAATGTAAGATTAAATAATTACCTGTATTTATATACAATTGTTTATTAAATTATTGGTTTATTTTATTAGATTTTGTATAAATTGGAGAAAATACTTCACGAGTCGTGGTCTCAAAACCCATCGTCACGTTTGACGTCACTCCGCATCAAGAAGTCTCTACTGAAGCTTCAAAATGAGTTCCACAACGAGTTAAAAGTCTAAACGAATCCATTTTTTTGTTGCCAAACATTGTATTTAATAAAAACCATTATTAATACGGTTTAAACTTTAAAAACATTATTCAACTCATTATATTTAATCTTAAAAGACAATTATTATCTAAGTTTAAATTATATTACCGATTAGTTTTTTACCGAAAATTTGATGTTTTTAAAAAAGTAAATCTTATGTACCGGTAATAATGTTTTAAGATATTATTTTTTAGTTTATCTTTTACAATATTTTTATTTTAACGAAAATCATGTAATAAATTATATACAAATATGTATTGTAATTACGGTAATAATTATTATAACTGGTAATTTCAAAAAATATTAAAAACAATTGACATAATGTTTCTCATAGTATAACTGTAGAGATAATCTACGCCTTTTAAAATATGCAATAATTGCAGATTTATTGATGTCTGAATATATACTGTATATAAATAAAAAATCATTTATATTTCAACTTTATTTCTATATTTTATAATAAATTTTGCCCTTGAGGTCTATAATATGTATAATACTAGCATTTAATTGTTTAAGTAAAATATATTAATAATAATTAATAAAATTACTGTAATTTTTAATATTAACTTAATATTAGAATTAAAAACGAATAAAACCGATATATATTGAATAATAAACAAATCGAAATGAATATTCAAATTTTTTAAATAATTAAAATAATAAATTTTATTATTTATTATTATTAACATGATTTTATCAAATTATTTTGATGTCTATGTATTATTTCTAATATATTTTGCTTACAATTTAACAATGAAACATCATGGTAAATTTGTCAGTTTTTTTATCAATCTATAATATGTTTGTAAATCTTTTTACAGTTAATTTTTTGAAAAGTGCCAAATAAGGTGTGAGTTTTGTGCCGACAAATTTGAACACGTGTGGAGTGTGGGGAACGACACATATAGAAAAAGAGGATCTCATATGACTCAGGGAGGTGTAGGATATCATCCCCTTTGTATTCATAACACATAAGTTCCCGGAAACGCAATACAAGACCATTAAGATTGTTAACAGTTGTAAGCATAGACTGTCGGCCAATACTTTACAAACACTGTAATTCATAAGACACTGAAATAAACATAATTATCAACATTTGGTATAAAAACATTTGTACTAAAACACTGAATTAAAAATTACTGATTTTTATTTATTGAAATTATTTACATTTATTATGTTTATTAATATTTTATAATAAAAATATTTTTTAAAATTAAAAAATTAGTCAGAAAATTTAGCGACTTACATACAGTATACTATCTTATTTATTATCTAACATATGTATCTATATATTGTTATACAGTAGTATATACAGTACATTTTATACAATATTATTATAAATTATAGTTATAAAATATTAATAACTATTATAATTGTAATTTAAAGAGATTAAATATTATGTAAATTATTAATTCTATCATTATTGTGAAAAAATCAGATTTCTCAAAACTATATAATTAAATTAAATTTATAATTTGATTATTTTGTGTAAAAACGTGATAAAAATGTTAAATTAATGTTCAAATTTATCCCATTATATGTAGTGTTTAAATGTCAAGTGAGTATTAGGCGGAGTGTCTATAGGACTGATATATAATAGAAAGTAACGACATTAGCATATGTATGAAGTATTCAAGTATAATATGTTCGACACATTTCTATTGCATTTGTGTCTCATTTGGCAATTCCTGTGGTTTTCCAGTGAATCAAAGCATCAAAATCGTCAAAAATGGCGATAATTTGAATCTAAACTTAAAATTTAGTCATTTTCAGTGCCAAAAGATTTTTTGTCGATAACTTTGATGATTACAAATTCATCAATAATTTAGTGGAAAAAACTTTTTTGTTGTTCACGACATTAGTGCCAAACTTTTGCTAATTTAGTCTCTGAAGAGTTGGTCTCATGTTTTTCTTTTTTTGTGAACTACTTGTAAACTAATTGATACCAAAATGGGAAGCGCTGTGTCTTTGATTTACAAACAAAATAAATGCAAAGTCAAAGTCAAACAATTCGATAAAACAAATCACTGCAAACATGGGGACAGTTGGATACGCTGGACATCATCGTTGACCAAACCATTGAATTTGTCGATTACTGAAACAACTAAAACAAATAAATTTAATGAATCGTTTGACTACAAGAAGACCAACAATACGGACCAAAATGTTTATTATGTGTATCAAAGTGATACCAAATGTCTTAATAAGGAACTGATGTCTAGTTCCGCACCAAATGTCAAACAATTTGAACATAAACTTTCATCTAAAGGTATGTTTAATATTATATTATTTATTAAATATACAATTTATATACAGAAGTTATTAAATAATATATTTGTATATATTTAATAAATAAATAATAATAATATAATAATACATGAGATTATATCGGTTTGATATAATATGTTAGTTAATATAATATAAGTCTGTTTTAATAAAGTTTTAATATATACAGTATATATATATAAATATAACTTTATATTATTGTAAATTATATACTGTATAAAATTAGTTTTATTTTTTAATAGTTGAGTTGAAAAATATAATGTATATATGTTTGACTATTTTTATTACTATTAGAAAAATTACATTATTAAATTAATGCAGTATAAGTTCAAAGTGCATTCACATTTTTGAGACGAAATTTTTAAACATTAACTTACCATAAATATAGACACTGTGTAAAGTAAATTGTAAAGGTGTGTACTGTAGTACTGTATATGCCTTATATAATTTATAGTAGTATGTAATATACATTTACAAAATTAAATGATAAAAAAAAGTGGAAAAATTGCATCAAATGTGACACTTATGTATAAATGAAAAATTTGGTCCAAACATTCATTTACTACAATTGAAACTCACAATTATTTTCAATTGGTTTAAGTCTTTATTTAATATTTAATGTAATTTATTTATTATTAAACTAAATGGTTTTACTGATTTAAAACTAATCTTTTAATTAGTCAATTAGTAACTAAGAAATTTTAAATTTTAACAACAAATTTTGTTTAATGTTAATATTAATCATTAAATTTAAAACTTATTAATACTTTATTTATAAATAATTTTATAATTTTTAGATAAACTGTAACTATAAATACTATATAGTTATAATTTATTTAAAAATTATAAAATTTATACTATTGATACTAATTTATAATATATGAATTATTTTGAGCAGTGAATTATTGATTTAGACATAAATATTAAATAAAAAAAAATTAAATATTAATTAATTAATTAAAATTTTAATGTTTGGGTCAATGGGGTTAAAGTTATGGTTTAAGTCTATAAGAGTATAATCAGTGTATATTTAATATTAATTAATTTGTTACTAATAATATGTTTTTGGTTTAACAGACTGTCAGAGATCGCAATCAATGATCACTTCAAAGCCAAATCGCATCCGAAATATTTATTATCAAAGAGTAGTATTCACTCCTGAATACATAAATATGAGTTCCACTGAAATGACTAAAACGACTGTAATTAGCAAAAAAGATCCACTCATTGATTACGATTTGGTGCCGTCAGGCATACCAGTGCCCATCAACTCATTGCGAGCCAAACACTTGAAGACTAAAAATATCAGAAGTTTGGTTATGGATGACGACCACGAATATGATATCCCAAAGAAGACTCAACTTATATATCTTAATTGACACACAATCTCATGTGATATAAGTTATGCGACACTATTAACAAATTAAATAACAAAAGAGTCCAAAAGCGACAATAATTAGGAAGACTATGAAAAATCATAAGAAAATATAGTTTTCAATACTAATACTATAACTAAAATTGTTTCACTATTTATAGTTTCATTAAAAACATCATTTTGTGTGGTTTTCAATGCATGACAACTACTTAAACATTTTTCATTGATTTATATTCGTTTAATTATTTATAATTTTATGCTTTTTTATTTAATATATTTAAATATATTTTTTATTTTGTTAATTTATCTATTTATTAATAAAATAATAATATACACTTATATTATTTTATTATATATATACAATTTATATATGTACAGTATATACTCTATTTATGTGAAATGTCTTTTTAAAATAATTAATTAAAGATTTCGTAATTAAATTAAAGTAATTCTATTGCATATCACTTATGAAACTAATATTTGAATTTTTTGGTATCAATTTTTTTTGTATATATTTCATTATTTAATATTTTCATAATACTGTAATAATATCTATAAATTTTAACCAAAATAATCTATATTATAAATATATATTTTTGTAATTAAAACTCCCATCAATTATTAGGAATAATGATTAAATACGGTATATTATATAAAAAAATATTATAAACTATTTAGTGTTGCATGAAATGTCAATCCCAAACACCGGCTTCCCGTACGGCTTAAAGCACTGGTATGTCTATGACTGTCAGTGCAACTGTACTGATGAAGTAGTACCTAAACACTAGTGACCACAAATCAACACCAGATAATTGTTGTCAAAATAAGTTTAATTTGATAATTTTTAAATAATTAACGCTATTTTGATTTCATAATTAAGCTAATAACTTATATACAGTATAAAAATTGCGAAATAAACTTTTTCTTGCTTTATTAATTCAAAGTCATGATTTGATTTACATAAAAAATATTGACTTTAAGCAATAATTACTACATAAAGTTTAAGTAACTTTTTTTTATTAAAAATTAGTGAGATTTTTCACAATGATTTATACAATATGACAAAAAATATTTTTTATTAAAAATACAATACGAGAGAATAGTAAGTAAATTATTATACAATAAATACTGAATAAATAAAAGAAAAATTTGGCAAAAAACGTTGAATGTGTCTATTAATAACAAATAATATTTATATTATGATATAAATGAATATTTATTTACCTGTAATAACATATACAATATATATATACAGTATATTAATACATAATTTAATACATCATAATAATACTGTAGTAATAATGTTAATAATAATAATAATAATAATAATAATAATAATAATAATAATAATAATAATAATAATAATAATAATAATAATAATAATAATAATAATAATAGTAATAGTAATAAAATGATAATAAAAACGACAAATGATTAAATATTATATACAATATAAGAATTGTTGGACCGTTTTGTCACACAATCACAGCATTTCAGTTCTGAACGCAAACTTTGGTTGCAGTGATGAGGGCCCGGATGTGGCACTATTGGTATGGAGTGTCTCCGTTACCGTATGAAGACTGATGTCTCCGTTACCATTGTATCGGACTCTCATATCTGTAGGACAGGCTTCTGAGGCACAGCTATATCTCGGCGCTCCGTAATAACGATGCTCTTCAAAGCGTCGGCTCTCATCCCCGGCCCTCAAACATGAACAGCAAAAAGCATTTTTGAATCCCTGGCGAAACCTTTATTTTTATCGTAATTATACAACAAATAACAAAAATTTTAATTACTTATGTGTTATTAAACATTAATGACATTTTCACATAAAACACATCTCTTAATTGTAATTTTTTTTTTATTATAAAAACATTAATTATTGGGACACCTTTTAGTAATGTAATATAATTGTATATTACAAACACAATATTCTAACAAATTATTTTTATAATTAATTATTTTAATAATTTTAATTATTTTCATTTTTTAATATAAAAATTTCATTTCTAAATGAGTTATCTCTCTTATATACCGGTATAATGTATACCGATATATAAATAATATATAAACAAATTAATATTAATATAAATTATATAATAAATTTAAAGATTATAAAATTTAAATAAGACTAGGCGTTCACCCATTCAAGGATTCTAACAATATATAAGTTATTAATAAAAATACTAGTAAATGATTTATTAAAAAAATGACATATTTAACTATTTTTTATTAATCAGAAAAAAATATTTAAAAAAATTAATTATTTAGTTTAGTAACTTAAAAATTAATTTTATTTTCAAAAAAAATATTTAATAAAATCTGATATATTTATACTGTCAATTAATTTTAGATAATTTTTTTATTAATGGTAGAGATATAAAAAAATTGCGAAATATCTATAATGTTTGTTTAGACTTTAAATTAGTTTTTTTTAATAAATTGTTGCAATTTATATAACATTTTATGTTTCATTTTGAACAAAATATTGTAACAGACAATATAATAATAGCCTTCCAATAATATTTCTACTAATATTACACTATATAACAACATTACTAATAAACTATTATTAGAAACACTTCATTGATTTAGTAATTGAAACAAATTTATAATCATTTGATGTAAGAATTTTGATTATTATTTTTTTTAAATTAAATAATAATTTCTATTTTAACAATTAGTTTTCAATAGAATTGATTGTTATTATATTATTTAATACATAAACAAATTTGTCATTTTATTTAATTTTTAATATTATGATAGATTTTTGTTAACAAAAGTTAACTATTAGCAAAATTTATTTCATCGTATTTATAATTTATTTAAAAAAACATCATCATATTTTTGAAAAATTCTATAAATAAATTAAATTATATAAATTTTTGTACCACTAATAATATGAAATAATAAAGCAGTAGACTATATACTGTACACAAAATATAATTTATTTGGTCACAATTTAGCAAAAAATGATTCAATTATAGACTAAAACATACTGTGTTTTCTATGTTATAACAATTGAAAAAAAACAATATATATATACAGTATATAACATTTATATATAATATATTGAAAGCAAAAAAAAATAAGAATCAGATGTGAATCGATATCTTTGTTAGGATTTTCTTCTTATATCTTGTATTTGGAGTCTAAACTAATAAATTATGGATCAAATATAAACTGAATGCTATTTTATTATTATTATTATTATTGATGATAAACTAGCTAAACTAGCAGATATAAAGCAGCAAGGTTATCTATTCTATACAATGATTGCAATCTTTTTGTAATATAAATACTTGACTTTTTATACATGTAGTCTACAATATTATTTAATACTGTATATATCACATAATACAATACAATAGTATCAGAAAAATGAATTATAATATACTATAAAAGAATTTATTTAAATGAATTATTAAATAAATCTTATTTAAATTAAATGCAAATATTCTATTTAATAAATAATAAAAACATTTAACAATAGAATTTAAATTATTTTTAAAATATTAATATATCATATGATATATTAATATTTTATTGTTAATTTTAATTTTGTTATTTATTAATATAATTTTATAACTAAAAAATACTATGTTTAGCTATTTAATTAAAATATATAATATCGTAAACTGAAATTTATTATAAAATTATATTTAAAAAAATATATAAATGTTTTAATAAAATGATTTAATCCGAGATGAAAGTTTTATTTAGATATATATATAAATTCATTTATTTAAATTCATTGAAAAGTGTACTTAAATATAGAAATGTAGTTCACTTAAAAATATGATGACTTGACTCATGTGATATTCAACGAAAAACTCATAACATTTACTTTATTAATAATAAGAAATCAATATATTTTGTGATAAATGTTTGTTTGTCTGGCGTTTATGAGAGAGAGAGAGAGAGAGAGAGAGAGAGAGAGAGAGAGAGAGAGAGAGAGAGAGAGAGAGAGAGAGAGAGAGAGAGAGAGAGAGAGAGAGAGAGAGAGAGAGAGAGAGWATTTAATTTTATTGAATGAGATCAACAATCAAACAAAACAAATGTCAGATTGAATACTAAGATATTTAATATTAGTTTTATTAGTTAAAAGAAAAATTGAGATATTATTATAGGAAACAATTGACATTTGCTGACTAAAAGAGTTAAACTATTATTTTGATTAATTGACGTTAATGTTTAAGTATAATTATAATTACAGTATTAGATTTTAAATATACCTAAAGAAATATATAAATATAATAATTATTATAGTCTATAATTCAATAAATTATTATGATTAATTAATAATAAAAATATATCTATATATTATTCTCTGTATATTTTCAATCAATATTACCAATGCTTAGAATTGTTATGATTATAGTTAATAAAGTACTTTATCTTATATTTTGATAGTATTAGCAATATATCAATATATTTTATTTACTGTATATAAAAATGAGCATGTACAGTTGTAGATTGCTATACAAGTATAATGTGTTTGTCAATTATAACAATTAACTCACATTGAAATATTGTACAGCATATTGCTTAACAATTTAGTCCAGATGTCAATCAAAACATGGCTTATGAGCAATGGATTGACATTTATGTTAATTATATCATTTTATTTTAAAATATGCTAAACTTATTGATAAAAAAACAAATATTGATTTTTTATGTATCATTGCTAATATTGCGAGAAAGTCTTAAACACAAAGGCGGAGATGCTATTAATTACTTTTATCAAAAATACGTTGGATTTAAAGGTGCCCAGGGTAAAGTTGTAGATAATTTTAATCTGAACAAAATTGTAATTGGTAATTTTTAATTAATTGCAAGATAATTGCAGTCGACTATTATTTTAAAAAATTTTTAACAGTCGATTGTAACAGTTAACAGCCGATCTGGTCAATCATACAATTAATTTCAAAATGATCAATTATAATCTTATTTAATTTAAAATTATCTAAAACTTTGCCCTTGGTCACTTTTAAATCAAACGCATTGTTGACCAGATAATTGTAATTAATAGCATCGCCGCCGCCGTTGTTTAAGACTGTAATATTGCTAATATAATATCTGAACTATAATTTTGAATTTTGTTAATATATTACAATACTTATAATTTTATTTATTTATTCTTTTGAAATGTTATATTATTTGAGATATCAATTGTCAATATCAGTAACAATAAAAGACTACAATTTATATACTGTATAATTATTATTTAATATTTAATAGTCTATCATTTAATTTTGTTATAATAATATTTAAAAAATGATTTTTAAATAGTCTATGCATTTGTGTTATTGTAAAAACTAGCAATAAAATATAGTAAGTCTTATTAGAAATATAGGATTAAAAATAAACTTTTGAGAAAAATTAATTTTGTCTACATTTGTATAGAAATTAATAATGATTATAAATAGTCAAATTAAAAATTAAATTGAATTGTTATTTATGTTTAATTAAATTATATCCTACAATTGGTAAACTAAACAAATATTTAAATATTACTTTCTAAATAAATTTTATTCTAATTTCAGTTTATATTTAAAATTGTCTATTTTATAAAATATTTTAAGATAATTAAGATTTAAATAACATTACAACATAAAATTAAAATACAATATTAATTAAAATGTCACATTTTTGTCTATAGTTTAAATAAATCTTTTTGTGAATTAAAACTGTGTATATTTGGTATAATTTAGTAATACATGTACTGTAGTATTAATAATAATAAGTAGTTTTGCAAAATATAAGAATAATGTGTAAAAACATTATTATATAATTATATAAATACAGTTCAATGTATTTGACAATATATGACATATTTTTATATGTGTTTTATTCAATATTTTCAATGATTTATAATTTAATATTAGATTTTATTTTAAATTTAGAAAGTTCAAAAAACAAAAATCTCAAGTTATTTAATTATTGAAACAAATAAAAACTCATTTTCTTAATATTTAAATAATTTATATTACTTTACTAAAAATTGTAGACTTTTTAATGACACAAAAATTACAAATATTAATGCCTATAAATAATTACAAAATATATAATGTATATTATATACTTTAATATTCTACTAATAATTAAGTAAAAATATATATGAATTAAAAAATAATTAATTCGTAAGTATAAGTTTGTCGACCACTAATGTCATTAAATACTTGTCTTATATTAAATCAATAGATGCAATAATATTAATATTTTGTGTATAAAATATGCTTAAAATAGTGCGCATATTAATACTGTTATCAATGATCATCACTAAAAAGTTATATAAAATAAAAACATACAGTACTTACTATATAAAAATTTATATATAAAAACATTGGGTCTACTTATGTATTGATAATAATATTTGGTTAACTGTTTTTTGTGAGTTAGACAGAGAAATCAATTTTTTTTAAATAAGTGTAATCCTCTTACGTATAATAAGACTTCTTAAATAATTGATTGCAATAAATAGCAATAAAAGTCATAAAAATTGTTTAATATTAATCCAAATTCTAAATAAAAAACTTTTCCAATATTACACATTAAACTTATATGTTATAATACAGTATAACTTGTAATGTATAAGACTATCTGTCTATATAATGATAAAGTAGTTGTAGAAAAATAATTTTAATTATAGACTTAAAGTGTACTCTATATAACCATAGTTAAAGTGATAATAGGTTAAAAAAGACAATTTACCACAATATCGTCATATAATATGCTATAATTTATATCAATTAAATAATCAATTATTTATATAATAAAAACTGTATATATATTAATATTAACAACTCAAGTAAAAAGTATAATATTATAGCTAAAAATATCAATTGTGAAGATTTTTATGATATGAAAACTGTAAGTTATTTTTTAAAAAAGTTTATAAATAAATATTAGTTTAGATGTTAGATGTATTTGAATTGAATTAATTAAGTTCTATAAGTTGTTCGGTTTAAAAATTGTATTTTATTTATATATTTATTTTCTAGATTTTACTTTAAAACCCATGAAAAATTTCAAAATATAAATATTATAATAGATTAAAAATACTCTAATAAAAGATTCAGTTTTAATTTACTTGGATATTTTGAAATCATAAATGTTCACAATAATAAAAAAAATAATTTTAATATTTCATGTAATCTAATATTTATTTATATATTGTATTTTAGTCATGTAAAGTTATATAAAATATTATATAGATTATTATTATAAATGAAATAATTAACCATTATATATATATAACTTAAATTAATTTAACAATTTAATCAAAATTAACTAATTTTGAAAAGTATAAAAACTTCAAAATAAACAATTATTTTTAAAATTTTAACAAAATATTTGACTTGTTTTTAATTGTTATAAAAACTACAATTCTCTAATAGGTAAATTAAAAACATATTTTAAAAAATTGTATATTCAGACAATTATATACTATTTTTCTACTTATCATACTATACTTTCAATATTTATTATAGTAATCAATTCAATAGTAACGATTGATTTTGCTATATATATATAAATAACTTTATAAATGGTAATTAAATTTATTATTTATTATTTAATATTATATATATATTATATATTATATATTATATATTATATATTATTCAATAATTTAATATTTTTATTAATTCTATAGAAAAATACTTAAACTAATATTTTATTGATTATAGTTAGCAATTACTTACCATTTGTAAGACATATGCTGTATATTAAACAAACAGAGTGTCATTATTGACAGTCTGTATTAGCATTAAATCATTTAATAATTATATAAATAGTAATGTATAATATATATACAGTATAATTATAGGTAATATAGTTTAATTTATGCATAATATCAATAGTTACCTTGAATTCATCCAGCAATAGACAAATGGATTATATATTGAGTTACTCATAGCTAACCAATAGATCGATAGATATATGTGTTGAACATAATCTGAACTAATCATTTCGGGATAATGAGGCGCCAATAGAAAGTATATATGATATGGAGCCCAACATATCTGTTAATATAATAATTATATTTTTATTACTAATATATTAAATAAATATTAATTATAAACATATTATGCAATTTTGACAACAATAAATTTAGAATTATTATTTGAATATTATTAAAAACCCTATTTGTTTTTAAATTTTTTTATTTTAAATGAAGTACAGTACACACATTATTAAATAGTGTATTTAATTTAATGTGTTTTATAAAAATAAGAGCTTTTTGTGAAACAAATACTAGAAAAATAAGAAATGCATTAAACAAAGTCTTTTGTGAATTATATTTAAGACACAAACATAAAAAACATTAGTGTCTGTGAACATAGAAAAAAATCATTAAATAAATATATATATATCAAATTGAAAATAGACTTAAATTTAGATATTTTATATGTTGTTGTTATTGTTGTTTGCATTAAGTGTTGAATTTCTAAATTTAAGAGTTAAAAGCACTTGACGTGTGTTTGTTAGGCTTTTAACAGAGAAAATACGGAAAACCCATAAAATATAATATATAACTTATAACATATATAATATAAGACTTTTACTGTTTTATGACACTAAACATGTTAAACATTATAGACAAAGTTGTATTGTATGAAATATTATTGAATACTTTACCCCAAATATAGCCACTACCATCATCATCATCTTCACTATCTGTGACAATACATACAAATAAATAAATAAATAAAATGTTAGACCAGTTGACTACCAATTTGATTGACAAACCTTTCTCTTTGATTTAATGCTTTCCATTTGTTTTGCAGTACACTCTCCTATAGCAGAACTGCCCCATAATTCTCGACCCACACGAAAATATGTGTATATCATAGATACTATTGGAAGCATATATGTGACCAACAAAATGATGACATTATATCTATAATCAGCAAAAAATATATCAAACATATAATATAATAAATATTTTATTTTTATATAGAAAACATTATAGTTTTAAAAAATAATAATAACACTTATGTTAGTAATACTTGTTTTTGTTGGTTATTTATTACATCACATCATTTAGATTATGTTTTTTAAATATTTTAGTATATACTGTATTAAAATTGAATTCACTACCTTTAATATAATTTTATATATTAGTATTATATGAATATATGTTTTTTAGGTAATGAAAGATATTTTTATTTATTGAACACTTAAGTCAAATATAAATTGCCGTAAATTTTCATACAAGTGCTCTTATTTTTAATAATGTCTGACTTTTATGACTAAAAAAATATCACATAACTATAATATGTTTAATACACGGCTATATTAAAATCAAGTGTTGACACACAAACTATTCAAATGTTATTCATTTGATACTTAAATTTGTTATACAATCAATGTCTTTGATTGCAATCAAATGTTATAAGAAACTTAAAATTATTAATTATACAAAAATATATTTAAATACTTTAAAAAAACGATTATGGTTTAAATTTCATATAATATTGAGTCTAAAATAAAGTTCAATAATATGATTTTGTAAATTAAAAAAAATACAAATATTAATAGTATTTTTATGCATAATTGTAAGTGTAATTTAATGATATGACTTAAGTTTTACTATAATTAATCTGATTATTGTTTTTATCTAAAATGAATTACAATATGTCTCAACCAATAAGCGACTGAATGTCTAATGTAGTACTCAAGTGAATGATATTATATGTGATGTTTGAACTGACATTAGTGTTGACAAAAAAGAGGAATTTCAAATAAAGAAGAAATTAATATAGCACTACAATAACTATAAATATGGTATAATAGTGTGAAATAAAAATGTCATAATTTAAATGTAATTTTATAAACATAGCTAATAATGTACAAATATATATTCTTGAATTGTTATTTTTATTTATATATAGAAAATATTTATATTGAATCAAAAATTTTAGAATTGTTTAAAAAAATATATCTAAATTCTAAACATAACTTTTCAAATGTGTGACTTAATGATGGAGTATAACGTTAATAATAAAATACATGTATATAATATATTTGTTATATACTGTACTATTAATATACTGTATAAAGTAAATAATATATGTATGTATTATATAGAATATTCTGCAATTTGGTGGCTAAGTTACTGCTTGAATTGTTTTGTATATAATCTCATTGATTGTATTTGCTTTAAGCTATTGTTATCTTAATTATATACATAGTTATTATTATTATTATTATATTCATTTGTGTTATTTTTTGATGTTTATTTACTCGTAAATTATTCCAATTTTCATTAAAATGTAATATTTTCAGAATTAAACGTTAGTTTTTTTTAACTCTATGGACAAAAAATAGCTCTCAATATAATTATAATGATAAACATATTTGAAATATGGGAAACTAGTTTTATTTATTTACGATATAGTGTGTGTGTGTGTGTGTGTGTGTGTGTGTGCCTAACATTTAATTATTAGGATAACATTTAATCTAAACTTATTACTGATGTTTGAATGCAGTTGTAATTTCCTATAAAAACGATTGATTAACATTAGTAGAGCCAAAATAATAGCATCACTTTTACTTCTTAAGACTAAATTAATAGAAATTTCTTTATATTTCTAACTTATAGTCCTATCTATAAATTCATTGTCTTAATTAACTTGAGATCTAGAAGTTTGTGATTATATTAACACATTTTCCAAATAAGTGCCATATATTTGAAAACACTGTAAAGTTATGATTTCATTATTTTTTGGGACTAAAGTAAAAATCAAATTTTAAGAAATATTTTTCTCAATAACTAAAAGATATGAATAATAGAAATTCAATATATTATTTATATCACTGTAAACATTATTATTAAAATGCAATGCTTTTTGAGGAATTTCATCGTATGAATCATGTTATGAATTCATAAAAATGTGTGATTAATGAGATTCCTATAGCATATTATATATATATTTATGAAAAAGCATTATTATTTTGCTATAAATATAAAAATATATTAATGAATTTGAGTGTATAATAAAAACATGATATTAAATTAAAGTTGTCCTATAGTTAAATGTATAATTTGTTGATAATTTATCTTCATTTTCATTCAACATAAAAAAAGTCAAAAGTCATTTAAAATATAAAAATATAAATTGTATAATAAATATAATTATATTTATTCTGCATTTTATTCAAATTTCTTATTCCAACTTTTGTTTTTATTTAAACTAAACATTATTATGTGTTGAATAGTTTATAAAAACGTTTGATATAAATAAATAGTGACAGAATTTCACTTTAAAATATTATATAAATTTTATTTTTGTCTAATATAGTCAACTAAAACAAAGCTTTTGACGCATAATATTATTTGAATCTATAGCCAGAGGTTAGTAATCTTTCTTAATAAATGACAGACTGTCTAATACAGTTGTTATCAATATTTTCTTTAAGATATTTTATACCTTTATAAATGTTATATAATATCACAATATGTAGATTCTATATAAAAACATAATATAAATGTTTATAAACTACATTTAATTTTTATAAAAATTTATAATTTTTATTTTAAACTATTTTAACATAATTTGTTACTATTTTCAACAATTTTTAATAATCATTTACCTATATATCATTTCAAATAATATTCATTATTTATTTATTTCTAAAAAATTAAATTTCAAAATTATTCAGAAAACAGATTTTCTTAGCATCAATAAAATAACTTTATTTCATAAGTTATTTATTATTATTTTATATATTTATATATAAATTCATATAAAAAATTTTACAAATGATTTAAAGTAATCCTAAATATTAAATTCAAGTCTCTTTTATTGTTATTAATATTTAATATGATTATTATATTTTTGTTTTTTTTGATAAATTATTTTGGATTAAAATAAAAACAATATTATCTGTTTCTAAATTGCATACAATAAGAATATAATACTTATTAATCATTTACAGATCAATGAATCTTTTATTAAAAATCAATATATTATTAATTAAACTTAAAAGAATTAAATTAAATTATAAATATATTGGATAATAAAAATTTTAATTATATTTCTTATTTTATTCAATAGAGATTTTAAAAAACTCCAAAATATAATAGTAGACAACAAATATTAATGGTTTTTAATATTTTTACAATATTTTATAATTTTTGTTTTTTAAGAATTTATAACAATATTCTATGTCACTAAACTTTTTTATTTTGAAAATATATTATTTAATATATACTGTACTGTCAACATATTATAATAAATTATACATTTTTCAATCAATTCAAAAAATTGATATTTACAAAAATTTTGTAGTGACTAACTATGAGCTTATAAATAAAAAGTTGTATTTAAAGGTTTGACAACATTTAAGTATAAACTTTATATTTTTAAAGATAAGAGAGATAATGAATGTTAATCTATTGTGTTGTAATTGTTATTTAATAAAATGAAATACTCATTATTAGGGAATATTTTAATACAATATATATATACAAATGATAAATATGTTTTATTAAATAGTAATTAGATGTATAATACAATATATTTTCATGAATAAATAGTTTTTGTGTTATATTTTATTAAAACAACTTAATTATTGATAACATAAATAAAAATTTGGTATTTTAAACATTCATTTACTATATCTTTTTGTTAATAAAATAATAATAGTATAATAAATATATTTTTATTTAATAATAATACAATTAATAGCTTACATATATTCCATTTGTGATTTTGTACTAGGTCCATCAAACCACTCCATGTAACAAATTACTAATCAATAAATATTTATAAAAATTATAATAAAAATATATTTAATAAATAAGTACTATATATATAACAAATATAACAAATATAACAAATATAACAAATATAACAAATATAACAAATATAACAAATATAGTAAATTTTAATATTATTTAAAATAATTATTAATTTGTTTACCTCTTGAGTCTCCATTAGAAAAGACTTCTCTCTCAGTGGTCGAGAAGATAATGTTTGGCAAAGAAAGTAAACTACTGGCGATCCAAATGCAGAAAATTATGTTTATTGTTGTCGTCCGAGACATACGTGGTCTCAATGGATGAACTATTGCCATATATCTGCAAATTAATTGATAATAAGATAATTGTTTGTAATATTTATATGTTATTTAAATATGTTTTTACATTCTATTATAGAATTTTTAATTAATTTGTTTTAGTGTATTATATAATAAATAAAATAAGTCTCAATGTGTCAAATACTTATTTATGATAATTATAGTATAATATAGTTAATTAACAATATTGTAAAATAATGTATATATTATAAATAATTACACATCTTTTACTTATATTTTTTGCTTGATATAATTAAGTTATCATATATCATAAAATATAATATATTTAATTGATTATAATTTAGATAAGTTTATATATCATTAATTATATTATATTATTGTAATTGATTTTAATGATAATGCATATAAATATACATTTATTTGCAATGAGTTTATATACAGTATACAGAGTATAAGATATTAAACATAGTTATCAAATAATGTATTAATTGTAAGATTAATTGCTGATAGTTTAGTCCATAGCTATAAAATTGTGTTATTTTTATGGACAAACCTTAATCTAAATGATAACATTAAAAGTCTATTATATTATGAGCCATAAGATTCTCATGAAGCGCTTTATTGATAAATATAAATATATATAACACTCAAAACAGTATATTTAAATAATAAACACATTTATCACATGATTGTATTGAAAATCGCTGTAAAACCCCAGTGAATGTTTAAAACATATAAAATGTTGTAATTCCCTCTAATTTTCGTCGAAAATAATGCAAATATTTAATTTTTTATAGTTATAAAAGAAAATATATTTTGTTTTTCAATATAAAGTTTAATTTTGTAAATATTGTAATTTTTTTGAGTACTAAATATTTATTATACATTTAATTAACTATTAAATTACAATATTATACCTTTAAGTTATTGTAGTTATGTTAGACTTTTATGTTTTTTATGCAAAACTATTTATTATTTTTAAAACTATTGTGAAAGAAATATTAAAAATCTAATAAAATATTTTGAGAATATTAGGGAATTAAGTTGGGAATTTATAGGGAATTTACTTAAATTTGACAAAAATTATCGTTTAAAAATGTTAAAAAAGTAATTAAAATTATTATATATTTGTTTAAAATTTTGAATAATGAATGTTTTCATCAAATTTTAAAACATTTATTTTTATAGTCCTATTTTTAAATACTAGAAAGTTAAAACTGTCTCAGTACAAGCAAAACCAAAACAATAATGGCAACCACACAATGATACCCTTATTAACTAAATATTTGGTCAATTTTTTTGCCCTTAGTTATAATTTTAATAAAAATGAACATTTAAAATGAGAAAGATAAAAATTATAAATTATTGTTAAAATATTCATTTAAATATTAAGTTGACTTTTAGTTTATTAAACTATATAAATATATAATTTTTTGTCGATATAATATAGTATACATATTGCTTAATAATCTTAAATTAAGTAATTAATTATTTTCAAAAACATTCACTTTATTTTCATAACCATTGTCTTAGCACACCTTCATTTATTTTATCCTAAATACTGCCTAAAGTATTGAACTAATAATAGTATTATTTTCTTTTAGATAACAGACAACAAGTTTTTTACATCTTTGCAAAACTATTTTATTGTCATTAAATATATATATATATATATATATGAGATATAATAATACTTAATACTGTAGACACAACTGTATGTATGATATAGTAGTGGATAAATAGGGAATTCACGCCTAAAGAGTTAGTTTTGGAAACAATTTTACCAAAATCTGGTGTTGACTGCTATATGAATGCATTAATACAAACAATAATACTTCACTGCAATATTTGACTGCATTGTTGTCAACGAAACTTAAATAAAAATTATTACAAAAGTATTAATAAAAATATTAATTTATACATTAATTTTAGAATAACAATAAAATACAAACAAAAATCATTATTATATATTATAGTACACATTTATAGTATTATTATTATTATTATTAAGACCATAATATACAAACACAAACTATATTAATTTTATAGTTTGAAATTTAAAGTAAAATTAGTTAAGTTAAAATATTTAATAGTCAAACAATAACTTAATATAAATTTATAATACAGTATATAAGTTAAATATTAACAATAATTTTTATTTAATTGATAATTTTTAAATAACAATTGTGGTTGACTTATATATATTAATATTTAAAATACTGTACTATATGTCGATATATTGTTATACTTATTGTATGAAATTTAAAAACTTATATCTGAAATGTTTAGATTTATAATAATTACTACAAAATTTTAGTTGTTTAATGCACTTTTAATAAGCAACTATATTTAAAAAGTGTTTTATTAATATACAGTAATATAATAAATAATAATATATGAATATAATAATTTGTTTTATTATATTAAGGCTTTATAATTCTTTAAATATTCAAATGACGTAAATTTAGTGATTATTAAATAAAATAAATTGAACTGTATTTACAATATAACAATTTTCATAAAAATTAAACAAAAAAAGTAAGTATTTAACTAAAGTATTTATGATTCATAAAAATGATAAAACTAATAGTTAATTAAAGAAATAGATTTTTAGGGTTTAATATTTTATTAAAAAACTAATAAAAATAGATTAGACCTTATTTATATATACTTAAAGATGGGCAAATAGAAAGTTTCTAATAAATTTACGTGAGAAAGTTTCTAGAAAATTTCTCATGGATAAATTTCTATAAAAATTTAACTTTATTGTTATACTATGGGATACCCATATCTATACATATTGTAATACTATAAATATATTAATGAGACATATTATATAATGTAGATTACTATATAATACTATTATTCAAATGGGATACATATATAAATAATTATAATTATTTAATAATAATCAGAAAAATTTCTTTTCTAAAATTTTATTCATCATTTTATTATATCATAGTTTAATATAATTAAATAAATTAATTTTTTATTTTAATTAATAATTAAAATACTGATAATAATATTTAATTATTACTTGTAAAAACAATGTTAAAGATAACAAATATTGAGAGAACAAAATTAACCATGGGGATCCAATAAATAGAAATTTATTTTAGAAACTTTCTAGAAATTTCTCTATTATTTTATAAATTTCTCTTTTTTTGCCAGTAACTGTATTAGTAAAATAACATTTTGTATTTTAACAATTTTACGCTCAAAGTTCTTTAGTAATTTGTTTTGTTTTTTTTTTGAATAAACTAATTATATTTTAGCATTATTTTAACTATTTTTTCTAATTTAACTAATCAGTATAAATAAATACATTATTTATAATAAAAATATTATTATTTAACAATATTTAGTAATATTAATGAAATTATAATCAATTTACATCTTTATTATCTTTAATATTTGTGTTATAATTTATATAAGTGGGTAACTATTATGTTATTACTGTTTGTATTAAAAATGTTTTGTTTTAAATCTCAAGTAAAACTTATGTTTTACTAACAATAGTTATAAAATGAAACTTTTTGACTGACAATTTGTTTGAAAAGTTATAGAAAAATGAAACAACAAAAATCGCATAATTAAAAATTTTATTATTTTATAATTATTATTTCAACAAAAACTATCCAAATTAAATAAAATATTATTAATAAAAATTATGATGTTTATATTGTAATGGAAATTTGATGATAATATTTTTTTATTATATAGATTTGTATTAAATTCACAAATAAAAGCCTTATTTTGACATTATATTACATTTAGGGCTATATTTGAAGGTAAAACTAGATATTAAAGCAAATATAGATAGTATTGAGATATAAATGAATGAATTTGTGACAGAATCACAAAATTGGATTCATATTAGAAATACAATTACAACTTAACAACTCTCCATTGTATCCATAGTTTGTCAATATTTTTATTTATTTTTTGTTGTGTTATTATTGTGTTAGTTGTAGTAATAATTGTTGTAATAGTCTTCTCATATCAAACAATATTTCTTAACAAAGGATACAAAAAATATTAATTTAGTTTTTGTGTTAATCGATAACAAATTAAAAGCAATGCAAACAAATTAAAGTATTTGATTAATTGCTGTTCATTCATAATATTATTTAATTATACAAATTATTTTTAAAAATGTAATCAATGTTGAGAGATGTTAAAAATTACCAAAAAATTTTTTTATAAAGTTAAATGTATAAATATATTGTGTTATTAATTTTATTTTGAAATTAACACAACACATAAAAATATCTAATTTATAGATATTTAATTATATTTATATTCCATGTATTCTACTGTATAAATAAAGTGCAAGTAAAATAAAATTAGTTAATTTATAATAACAATTATATGAAAGATCAAATTAATATTAATTATAATAAAGTATTTATGTTTATAGATATTTTTAAAAATTATTTATACTAAAGTTTTACATATTTTTATTTAATTTAAATATTTATAAATACTAATAATAAATTTCTTATAAATAATTTTGAAGAATTTTTTATTTGCCATCACTAATCATAAAAAATACAAAAAATATATACATTATATTTACAGTATATATAAGATTAAGTGATTATTGAAGAAATTGAAATCTATTGTTATCGCAAATCAAGATTTTTTTTTTGGTTTTAGGTTCAAAACAAATCGACAACAGTTTCAGACAAATCATTAGTTTTATATATTATTATTTTTATTGTTGTTTAGTCTTAAACTAATATGTATTAAACAAACAAAAAAATAGACTGATTATTAAAGGACTGTCCGATTATGAGATTTTATAGTCAATGGTCGCGACTTATTATAGCTTTAACTTTGAACAAAGCTTAAAGCTATCAACAATTAATACAAATATTATTATTGTAAGCTTACGTCTAATTTACATAAATTAATTAAAATATTTTTTTGATTGTATATTTGTATAATTAAAAAAGATTACACAATAGAATTAAGTTTTTTGATTAGTTTTTTTTGAATTAAATAAATAGTTAGTTTCAATCATTTATATTTGGATTT